ATGATAATAGTGACCTTAGTTGAATAGTCAGTTGAAACTCAGTTTTTTTGCTTCATTTATTTAACAGAAGTACAGTTTCAAGTAAAATCGGTGACAAAAATAACTACAGTTTCAACTGATTATATAATTAATGTCACTGGCGTCGTCGTACAAGTTCTGCTTTTGAATAAATGATAGTTTAAGCTTGCATCGACTGCAAAAATAATGGTTGCAATGAAACAGCAAACCTGAAAAATTGAGATAAGTAGGCTAAATATTTGAAACACTCAAAAACTTTTGTTTGGCAGACGAATACTTCATTTAAGTGTGGGGCAAAATGTGATTAAGTAGTCATTTAACTCATTGATTTGTATATAACATGGATCTCGCATTACTAAATAAATTTGAAGCTAGAAGGAGGCCATACTGAACAGTCCCACTTCACGAGGTTGACATACAAATTATATTAATTTCTGCTGTGAAAAATTGCAAAATCGCAAACTTAAGGTGAATTGACAAAACTGCTACGTATTAGCTTTAACAAGATTAAGTGTAGGAAGCAGTTGTACTGTTAAAAAAAGGATTTTTTCCCAAAATTTTCGTGACACCATTTGAGAGATACTATCGCAAAAGAATGCTTCTAGCTTCACGTTGAAGAATTTTTATAAGGTTTGTAAGTGCAGTGCGCTCCAAAATTCATAGCTATCGTGGTTCTTTACTGTAGACTATTATTGTGAGTGGGAACAGGGGCGGATCTAGAGTATGTCAAATCCGTCGCGCGACTGATGTTTGAAATTCAAAAATTACCTATTCATATTAATTAAAAATTCATTAATTACTCTTATTTTCTTATCGCATTTACTTCGTGATAAAAATCCCGCATTATTTATTATTGAAAACTAATGACTAATGCAATGAATATCTCGTTGGTAACCAGATCAGTTGAATTTTAATTGACCTGGAATAACCGACTGATAAGCGGGGTGGCTTGACTGGTTTGACGGATAAAGGAGTCTATGAACGTCAAAAACGCTTATTTTATTGGTCAATAGCCAGATCAGTGGACAGTCTGGAATGGTCTCGACTGATAATAGGGGTGGCCGGACGTATAAGGGAGTCCAATTGCTATCTTACAATTGGTTCATTTGAATTTTTGCTTTATTGTGATTGGTTTGACGGATTTCGACTGATAGCCAACTGAACTAACATAGTCAAGCTCACTGTCTGAATTGAATGTTTGATCGTTTTATAGTAATTTTATAAGCATGATAGAAACTAAACTACAATCAGATGGAATTTTGGAAATCTTTACAAATTCATATATTGACATGAATGCTGCTGTCCAAAATGTGAATTTTTCAAGAGGGTGGAAATTTATGGATAAATTTTAAATGCTTGGCAAAGACGATCTCGCGAGCGACATTTCAGTCATTGATGTTCAAAAGAAAGCCAACATTGTTTTGAGTTTTATCAACGGAAATTTACGTCCAAAATCGTAAGTAAAGAACAAGTGAAGTGTATGCATGAATGTAATATATCAAAGTCAATTTATGCGAGTGTGTGATGCGATTTCTGTCAATATGGCGTATGGTAAGCAGATAGATGCTTCTAAAATTGTTGTTGACGAAAGGACTTTTAGCTATGATTTCATTAGTGCTTGGGAATCGTGACCGTTATATGGCAGCGAAGTCCTACATTCCTGCAAATATATTTAAATGGACAAAAGATCTGTAGCCATAAGGCGCCATACTATTATTTACTTTATCATAAACAAATGTTTGGGGTTTTTCAGTTTATGATCATTGATCATTCAATCATTGGACAGTTATACTACATATTGTTTAAGATTTGAGAAAACTAACATTGATTACATGAGAAGCTGTTTACTATAACCTGTGATTTTGAGTCTTCTGATCCATGAAGCTTTTTATTTTAACAATTTGACTGGAATGGTATTAAACCTGAGTATTTCACATACATGGAATGTTGTCCCATGTCACATATTGTCTCCTTTTCTAACTGAACACCTCATGTAGAGATGTAAAGGTGTGTTAATCTACGGCTCATACCAGATTGTTTGCCATAAATTCCAAAGGGCTATTGATGTATGAGAAGCATTTTCTATAAAGTAAAAATGTCTTTCTATGTATTCAGATAAACCTTGAAATTTGGCAAAACATCAAAGTGTTTTTGTGATGATCATTATAATTTCTAAACTAAATTATTTCTGATTTACATTTAAACAAGCTTTGATCATATGAAAAGATATTTATCATAACCAGTAAGCATGACACATGAACCAATTTTAACATTCATGTAATTATATAATTAAAGACATGTTGGTTACATTCTGTTTGTATTTGCAAATACAATGCTACTAGTGATTGCTATATAGCACACCTTGCATATACTTACAGGAGATAATAGTCTAGTGAAATGCCTAATAAACATTTATGGCATTAAGCTGTCCTTAACTGCAAATTTTCACTCTGATAATTTTTGCTAAACCTTTGGCAGAAAAAAATTTTGAGTTTTTTCTCAAAAGGTGAATTTGCTGGCACTGATGTGGAGATGGGTAAAGGGTTACAATAAACTTGCATGGTTTGAAGTCTGAGCTTTTCTACATCTATGAACTGTCACTTGTAGTACCAAATTTCTAACTTAACTAACCTCATTACATAAAGGTTTGAATGGGGGTCTCTAGGGGGGTCTATGCCTGACAACTTGAAAGAAATTTTTAAAGACTATACCTGTTTTTGAATAGCATTATTGTAAAATAAATTTTACGTTCCTAGACATGCTAATGAGCCATATATTTGGCATGATAATGAGCCTAAATATTTGGCAAAACATTCAAGTATTGTTCACTTCATTTTTCTTTTTTTGAAAAGAACGTAAGCAAAATGTGTTGTTTTTACGCAAAAACGATGCCCACAAATACATTTTGTATTTCTCTAAAACGCTGAAAATGGCATTTTCAAGGCTCTGAAATTCAAAATTTCTCAGGGTAGAATGCCTCAGATCCCCCCAGGTGCGGAGCGCCTTCGACGTTTTATGACTGATGTTTGAAAAATCCTAGATCCGCCCCTGAGTGGGAATGTTCAATTTGGTGGCGCATCTAATTATAATTGTCTACTTCCGGCTTCAAATTTTGCACTAAAACGATATGGGAAATGCACGATCCATGTAATATACATATCAATGATTTAACCACGTGAATGACTAACCGTAGCACTAACAAGATGAAAGCATGTTACACCGACTTTATCTGTGTCCAGGGAGTTACATAGTGTATTAGAGATCTTCTTGCTATACTATTTTCGAAGAGTGTTGGACATAACACCACAAGCTATTAACAGCATTACACCCTATAGCACCATGTTGATGAACACCTTGAAATAGAAATTTTAAAGAATTTCAGGTTTCTCTACGAGAAAATGAAATATAACATTGGGTATGATACTTTTCATCGACAAAAATACTGTGCAATATTATCTTGATGACAATCATTGATTCAACAAAAACAAAATTTCCTTGATATTTTATACCTACCGTCAATGGCCAGTTGATCACAGTGACTCTTTCATGCAATCTAGTTACAAAAATAACGACCATCACCATGACAACAATCAATGAGACGACAATTGCAAACATTCCAAAATATAAGCTACCTTTTCCTCCCCAAGGGTTGATGACAGAAACTACGTTGTCTAAAAATGCTCCCAATGTACTTATTGCAATCAATAGTACACCCTACAAATGAATCAAACATTTTGATATACATGCATAAAGCATGGAACTGAAAAATATAACACGTGTAAAGTATAGAATTTGGCCGAATGCAGTAATTACGTGGGTCGGCCATAAATTTAAATAAAGTAAACCACTTACAAATTCAGATATCTTCAAGAAAAAGGGAATCGTTTTGATGTATTTAGTTCCCTTCGGTATCGCCCCCATGTTTGGCTATAATGCTAATATGCAAAGAAAAGTAAGTTGACGTCATGACTGGTTGAAAAATGACATGCCAAAATTATTAATTAAAACCAAGTTTAGGTCAGTTATATTACGCTTGTGTGCTTAAAATTGGATGTTTTGTTTTTCCAGTTGCTGTGTAAAAGAGCCTGTATTTTAGAAAATACGTTGTAGTATCAGACATTCAATCCATAATTTATTAATTATAAAAAAAACACATTTGTGTATGTTAATTCGATAAGAAACATAAAAATAAAAATGACAGTGAAGAAGAAAGAAAGAACATTGTGAAATTTCCAGCAATCGTATGAAACACTTACCGCAAAAAATGTCGCAACTACTTGTGAACGATATGCAAAGATAGCGTTGAGTTGAAAAATTAAACAGGCAAGCTGTTGTTCAGAAGACTCGCACCTCTTTACACTAATTAATACAAGTGTCGTTATATATAATGTTATGGAAAGTTATGCATTATTGATCAATCAGCACCTTGCAAGGAAAATGAACTCACATGTCATTGGAAAAGCACAAAATCAGTCAGTTCAGCGTTCTTATTGGTCAGAAATTACAATATACTGGCTGGCGTGGTTGCAACTATATGATAATTAAATGTGTTATAAGAGAAGCGCATCAACAAAAAAAATCACTACAGTGGCCCTCCTGCCCTACTGTTTGTTATCTATACTGTGTTTCTATTGTGCAAATTATATGTCGTTTTTTAGTCAATTTCAAATTTTAAATAAACACAAAATACCTTCAATGTATTAGTAAAAAATTGCGTTGTTCGTCACTGCTAATCAAATCCAATATTATCTTAACATATCCATCTATAATTTGATAATTGACTGTAAATCATAGCAACACTCTTGTTTCGATAATAAAAGGTAAAGTATGCATCTTAGATAATGACCTTGAACCACTTCCAGTAAACATGTGAAGAAGCAGGTAGAAATGGATATAGTTATATCTTGAATCAACACCTGTCCGCATGGACTCCATGCTGTCTGATATTTTTATATTAACATCTGTATGAAAATTTTGTTTAGGAGATAGAAACGAGAATTAAAATCAGATGTTTTCTGGAAAAATTCACAGGTAGGCATAAAATATTATTTATGCACGCAGGTTTGGTGATATAAATTTATTAAAAGTGTGATTACACAATTTATATCACAAGTAAAGGAATAATTATAAAATTATTATTATATACAACTCAAAGCTTCGACAGTGCTTTATCCATTGCAAGGAATGTTTTAAAGACAAAGTTACGATTTAAATACTAAACCTAGTACAATAATGACTACGTTTCTTCAAAGATAACAAAAATTTAGTCATTGTGAAGCAAAGATAACCAATAATACGCCATGTTTTCATTCAGACCATAGCGCTGCTATCTGCAATTTGTCTCTTCAAGACTAAAGCCTCGTTCTCGTTAAGTCGCTTAAGTCATCCGAGTCGTTCCGAGTAGTTCCGAGTTCTTCCGTTGTTTTTCAAAACGACAGGGAGGACTCAAGCTATGGAATTCTCATATATTCATACTAGCGCTGCCGAGAGACTGCTTAATTGATATCTGCGGAAAAAAAAAACGAAAAAGGCAGCTGCTGTTTATGAAAGAAAATAGAGAGTTTACGTTCCACTGTTTTTCGCGACGGCGACGTCTTGTGTTTCACAACGCCGGCGCAAGCGTATTTTTAGTTTACGCAAATTTACAACGTCGCCTCAGCGGAAGAATAATTGGCGGGAATATAAATCAGAAAACATTGCTTTCAAAAACATTCAAAAACAAAAAATGCCGAAGTGGAGAGCAATTCGAGAGCGTCTTTTTATGTCTTATTCGGATCAATCAATCGATGACGAAGAATTTATTTTGCTTTTCAACTTATATACTGCTAAAAGTCCGGATTTGCCTTATTGGAAATACGAAGGTTTGATTTAGATAAATTAAGCGACGACGAGTGTAAAGCAGAATTTCGGTTTATGAAATCACACATTTATACTCTTGTGGATGCTTTGAGGCTACCACAATTTATTACGTGTTATAACGGCCTTAAGGTTGATAGAGTTGAGGCATTGTGCATATTTTTGAAACGTTTTGCCTACCCTTGTCGATACCTGGATATGTTGCCAAGATTTGGTAGACCAGTCCCTCAACTCTGTATGATCAGTAATGTTGTCATAAACTTTTTATACATGGATTGGAACCGTTTGCTGTTAACATTTGATCAACCATGTTTAATCAGGCAACATTCAAGAATTTTGTAATGCAGTGTTTCAGAAGAGTGGTGCCTTAGAAAATTGTTTTGGTTTTGTCGATGGGACAGTACGTCCAATTTCTAAGCCTGGTCAAAATCAAAGAGTTCTTATAATGGCCATAAAAGAGTTCATGCCATAAAATTTCAGTCAGTTGCTGTTCCAAATGGTCTTGTGGCTAATTTCTTTGGTCCTGTGGAGGGTAGACGCCATGACAGCGCAATGCTTGCCCAATCCAGTTTATATAACAAGCTTCAGCAGCTGGATCATTTGAGCAACGAAACTCCTGTTTGCATTTATGGTGACCCTGCTTATCCTCATCGACCTCAACTACAATGCCCATTTAAAGAAGCAAGAATAACTCCTCAACAGCAACAATGGAACAAAGCAATGAGCAGTGTAAGAGTGTCTGTCGAATGGATTTTGGGGGACATAGTTAAGTATTTTAAATTTCTTGACTTCAAAAAGAACCTATAAATACAACTTAGTGCAGTAGGGAAAATGTACACTAGTTGTACCTTACTTCATAATGCAAGATGCTGTTTTTATGGGTCTACAACCTCACAGTTTTTTGAACTTCAACATCCATCTATACATGAATATTTTGTGTAAAAAGTTCAAAAATATTCAATTTTATCAAGTTGACTAATTGTTTTATGGATAACTTTATGAATGTTTCATCTATAATATCAATAACAGTAAAATGTATATGTGAAAAAAGTTTGGTCTACTCTCAATTTAAAATATATGCACTGTTTTAATAAAACATTTCAGTCTTTTTTAACAATATTCTGCATCAATGTTAGTAAAGCAGTGTTTTTGAAGTTGCAGTTGATGCATTAGTTGCTCTTGCTGCCTTTGCTGAGCAGCAATGCTGTCAGTTAAGGCTTTAGTGAGAGCTTCCTGTTGAGAAATGATGTTGTTTTGTTGTTGTTTTCTTTCATCAGCTTCAGCTTTTTTCAACATCAATTCTTCTCTTTTAATTTCTGCATCAACTTTTGACTTTTGTTGTAAATAGGCAATGATTTCACTTCCATTGGATGACATTCTTCTTTTAGGTTTTTCACCATCTTTACTTTGAGATTTTCTTTTGTAAGTTTCAGCTAATATTTCCATTGACTGTTGTCTCAATTCCACAGCCTTTTCTACTTCTGCAACAGAGTTTTGTTTTTGTTTCTCTTCCAAAATTTTCTCTTCTTCATCTCTATTTCTGAACATTTGAATAATTTCCTCAATGGAAGTTTCTACTGAAGATGGCACTGGAGAGGTACCAGAAGCTTTTTCCTCCTCTCTTAATCTTTTCTTTCGTTGTTTTTGAAGTAAAGTGTAGCGGTCTGGAACAGACTTTTGCGTCACGTTAAACTTTGGGCTATCCATATCATTTAAGGAATCACTGATCATTTCCCATGCATTACCTCGTTGCTGTGATCCTTTTTTGAAGTTCCATGGTTGGAATAAATACTTTTCACGAACTAGAATTTCATTATGTTCATTTGTCCAAGTCATTGCTTTTTTGCTAAAATTACAAAAATAATTAAGAATGCAAAGGAAACCAAACAAATACACTAATTATAATTATATAATATTTCGTGTATATAAAAATATAATAAAATATTAGTTGAGTTCTAATATTTGAAAAAAACAATCGATTTAGTACTCTGTGTGTTAAATAATTTACCCTTATCTCAGTACAAACTGAACATAACAATAACTTATTGCTAAAAAAGGCTTTAAACACTTAAAACTGTTCGATTCCTACATTTTTGTGTTTTGATGCTCATCCGCCATCTTGAACATGCAGGACGCGTCCAAAGAAGACGATTTCACGGCGTCGTCGCCAAAGGAAGCAGCCAAAATGTTAAGAAGCATGCGCACTAGCATTAACTCCCGGCGTCGTCGTCAAAATGTGAAGTTTCGTAAACTCTCTAATATCTTTTGGTCGGTTATTTGCTTCTTCAAATCATTTTTTGCCATAAAAAGGTCACTTGCATTTCTCAACGGTCGTTTCGGTCCCCGGATAAAGCAAAGCTCTATCCAAGCGACCCTAGTTGTGTCGTGTGAGTCATTTGAGGTCATCCTGGTCGCCTTTGAAATGTTCTCATATAGTCACACGAGTCGTCTATGAAATTTTGGCACGACTGAAACGACTCAGACGACTATATGAGAACAAGGCTTAAACAAACAATCTAATTTACGCATGCTGTTTTAGTAAGAAAGAGAAGTTTATCAGCATGGGTGAAGATATCTGTAAAACATTTAAAATAAATCCGTCATTTTTTGTATAACCACGTTAAATTGTGACCTTAAAATGATTGAATAAAAGGGCTTAAGTACAATTCTCAAAAACACAGGTCTTTTGTAATTGCTGGTCTGGGTGGGGGTAGTGATGATTATCTTTCGTGAGATTTTATTTTTCTCTTTCACTAACAACTGGTTTCAATTATTTACGAGTTTTAATTAAATTTGCTCTTGCAATAATTTATTCGTAAATCCACCTGCTATAATATAGAGTAGCGTATTTTTGAGTAAAGCTAGAAATTGCAAGAAATGTATTGCTTCTGTAACATATGCAGAAAAAAGGACTTTAGTGTTAGGTGTTGGACTGTCTATAAACAAGATGGGTATAATGATGTCACAGAGAGACAATTAAGATGGCGCTTTTTTAGTCCATCATTCCTATAAAGCTTATCAACTAAAATAAATAATTCCACGAGTACTTTCAGACGGTAAGCAAGGATACCAAACACAAAGTACACAATATCCAACGCTATTTTGCGTTAGCATTGTTTGAGCTCGATAAGCCATTAGTCCAGATCCATGTAACGAATCACCATAAGACAAGCTTTCGACTGATTTATCTCTTGTTAACCTTTGACACCCCCTTATTCCGTCAAGAAACCCACTTGTCAGTCAAACATGATTCCAGATCAGTTACAACTCAATTGAACTTGTAACCTGCAAGATTTATACTGGCTTATTGCCCCTTTATCTATCTTATTATTGTTTCTAGAAAGACAACCTGGCAATGAGTTAAAACATTTGATGTATTCTTCTGACAAAGACAGTCATGTGTCTAATACAATATCTCTCGACCTTGAGACTAAACCAAAGGTAATAATAGAAACCTTTTCTAGCCGACAATTTGAAAAAATAAATGAGAAAACACACTTCAAATTTCATGAATCTTCGGACACTTTTTTACACGGACTTTTTACCGCAGCTGACACGGGAGTTTTCTCGGCCGTAGCCGTCGAAAACTTCGGTCGGAGTCGGTTCTTTCTCGGCCGAAGCCGGAAATGAACGAACCACTAACGATCACAAACAGTGACCACTAATCACACTCATAACAATCCTCCACTAAGCCATGGTACGCAGTACACATAAGAGCTTGTGGCAAGTCACCTCCAGGGGCGAAACTAGAATGTTAAGTGGAGGAACGTGAATATTCATATATTCAACTCTGCTTGACTGATTTGGTTTGTCTGCGATTTGAGTAGCTGAATGTAGGAATATTCCTCACACCCCCCACACACCCCCATAACGTTTTAGTTTCACTTGGTCTCCTTAGCATATCTTTTTCCATTTAAGTTCATTTGCTTTTAGAGCATTTGATAAAAAAGAAGTTCATTAATGCGCCACACAATTCAAATACGTAAAGACAAAATGCATTAGCGTTTGTGTAACATCAATATGGAAATTAGTAATTTCAATAAGATCACTTCATTATGCATTCTTTAAAGTGAAAGTCAACAGCGTGAGTCAAATGTCAAAAGCATTTAGTGAGCATTTATTAAAGTTTTGGGAAGTACAATAGCATAAAACAAATAACATTAAAACTCTATAAAATGTCAATAACAATATATGTTTGCAATGGCATGATTATAACCGTCAATATAGTAGCATAATTTATCCGTACGGTGTCTGCCATTTGAAGATAGACTTGAGAAAGTTTTTCAAATGTAGGAACTAAAATTTGTCCGTCTTCACTGTGTTTGAGTCATTTTCCCTGGTTTACGAGTGAAGCGGAACAGATCTGGTTTAAATACGCGCACAATAGAGACGACCACTTTCACACTTTCACATTCATACACTTAAAAAAAATAAAAAGAAAGAATCTTGAGGGTTAATAATGCAATTGCAGACACATAGTGTTATTGACATTTTATAGATTTTTAATGTTATTTGTTATCATGCTATTGTACTTTCCAAAACTTTTATGAATGAACGCTTCATTCTTTTAACAATCCCATCGCGTTGTTGATCTTTACTGTATAGAATGCATAATGAAGTAATCTTATTGAAACTGATGATTTGCCATATTGATTTTACAAAAATGCTATTGAACTTTTTCTATACGTCTTTGAATTGCGGTACGCGTTAATGATTGTCGTTCTTATTTAAATGACATGCAAATGCTTAAACTGACGTATTTAAAATATATCTCTGTTGACTTGAGTGAAATTGTTATCTATAGTGGAGAGTCAATCTTCTGTTGTAGCTACAGACTGAAATTCAGACTTTCAAACATGCTTGTAATGTAAGCAATGAATTTTTATTTTTATAGACACTAGAGCCGTACATTTTCAACAATAATAATGATAAGAAGAGAAGATGTTTTTAGCAAATAGTGATCAAACTTCAACATTACCGTTCTAACGATTTGTACTACATTGTATTTGTTTTATCATCTTCTTAAACTTACTTTTTGAAGTTATTCTCATTTCAATATAGATATGTCTGCCCAACCAACGAAAAAAAGGAAATGTGTAAGTTATTAAAACAGGAGGAGAAACTGACCGACACGAGGTGAAAGGATCTGAAAGAGCTTCGAAGCAGGTGAAGTGTGTTTTTATTGATGTTTTATGCGATATTCATGAATGTCATGTTGACACTCAGGTAACATTTTTTTCTTACAAATAACTTTCATTTTTTTGTCATTGAAATGCTATAAAACATTAAAACTAACCCAAACCATGTACGCTACTATTAAAGCAACAGGATTAAATTTCTCTCAGTATGTTTCACAAAACTTAGAAAATGTATTCACAACACATGCGCTCACTGCTTACTGCAGTAAAATGGGGAATGTTTACTGTTGTAAAAATTTACTTAATTTCGATATACCGTTTGAACGTAAAATATGATTCAAATTATTGGGTCTATAAATTTTGTAGACATAATTATTAGTGTAGTGCCTTTGTGTCATATCATCAGATAGTACGATCGGATCGTCTCCCTTGATCGCATTGACGAGCCATGCGGCGGCATAATGCATCAAGCTTGGTCAATGCGGGTTTCAGAGTTCATCGTGACGTGCATTTTCGGCGTGTGGCATGGTAATTTACCAAACCAATATGGCGTCCACATCAAAACGATGTGCAGACGAAGTCGAAGAGGACGAATCTGACGATTCAGGCGATGATAGATCTGAAGTTAGTCCAGGAGGTTGGCATGTCTGTAACTGTATCTCCATGCTAGACGATATTTTTTCTACATCAACAATGCCATCGGCAGCATTGCTGTCAAATGATACGGCCATGATCTTCTTTTTATTGCCTGATGAGATGATCACATCCATCGCATTCCAAAGAAGAACGTGTACGGGAATCAGGAATTTCTTCAAGAAGGGGGGGGTGACAAAGTATAATTAAGGAGAGACATGACACCACAAATACAATTCACGAATCAGAATGCCTTTGTTTGGTGAGTTTGGTTGTTGGTTGACTTACAGTGAATCGACAAAGAAATAGTTTGAGAAAATCGGATAGTATGTACTTAAGCACGAAACATTTTAGCAATATTGCATGATGGGGTCACAAGCGAACGAATAGAAAAGACAAAACATGATACTTTCTCCTTGCCTATGAAATGTTACAAGTACTAAATATACCAGTTCGTTGGTTAAACTACAAACAGCAGTCGTAAATAAAATTAATTTGATATTGTCAGATGATATGAGCTGAACAACCAAATACGTACTGTGATTGAATCAAAGTTTTGAAAAATATTGAAAATTTTTAATTTTGAGGCTAGAGTGGACTTTGGCCAGTTCACTGAGTTTTTCAGACATCAGTAGCCATTTTTGCAGTGGCCATGATGACTGTGGACATGAATGATATTTAATGTAGTAGAAATGCAAAAAACGACAATTCAGCAACAAATTCAATTTTACTCTATAAAGTTTTAAAATAAACGATGGTTGGAATGCAAAGCTAAGTGGTTGGGAATTGGATTAATTCATATGATTAGAGACTAAGTGTTAAGTGCAAAACTTTAATTTTTCCAAATTTACTGTCATCTATTTGTAAATTGCCATTTTTGGTGGCTTTGTATTTCTTGTATTCTTGGATTTCTTATAAATCTTAGCAGGCGTCAGAGCAGGTATTAGAATAGGAAATTTTAACGGTGGCACATTTTTTCCCCTAAAATTTTCTTCATTGAGTTTCAGTACATTAGCTTGTACTGTTGCACATTCAGTGCACCAGTGTCACACCACTAACTTGAGCCTCGTCCACAGCAATAATTATTTTTAATGTTTATGTGATTAGAACAAAATATATTTAACATATATTTTACAGGACACATATTGTTAAAGACAATAACGTAATAATTTTTTGGCAATGTTATCCTATTTTTAAAGGGGTAGGTAAGACCCGATTTTTACTTCATGGGGACAAAAGACTCTTATCCAAGTCCCCCCATCCTCTTCCTACGGCTATGGATGCAATAATAACAAATTTATATGATTTTAACTCAAAAAATTGTACTCAATGAGTTGTAAATATAATAGAGTTCATGCATGACGTATAACGCAAAATTCATGTACGCCATTATTAGCAAATCTTTTGCCTTGTTATGTATCAATCTAAAAAATATATTTATGTTTATATTATTTGAACTTTGCCTGATTTTACCACAAAATTTAGAGTGATTTAAGCATGAAGTAAACAATAAAATCATGATTACGATGCTAAAGTACTCTGCTTGAAATACTGAAAAACTCGTTGAATGTGCCAAATTATAATCTTGTAGCTCTTTGTCAAGATTGAGCACATGTTGTATTGGTGGAAATAAGAATTCCAGAAATATAGGTTAAACGCTGTAAATCTTGGGTGATGAGTCTGTTCATTAAGACAAATAAATATTCAACGCAAATGACAACAAGCAAACTGGCACGTGACCAAGTAGGCGAAATTTGTTTGTACATAAAGTGGGTCGTTTGAATTTTAAAATCTGTACTGATAATTTTTGTGAAAGGTCGAAGTTTGGTCTGAAAACAGAACAAAGAAAATTGAATGACTTTAGTAAAGACTTCGTTTTATGATAACTAAAATAATACAAATATTCTTAATAAAATTGATATGCAGATGTTGTATGGTCGCACAAAAATTGTCTTTTTCTTCGTTTATGCAATGAACGTTTCTTCGTTTTCAAACGTCCAAGCAATGAAATTTATTTGCGATCAAAAATATGTTATGTTTTATTAAGTCATTCAATGGCGTTATTACTTTATTTCAATTTCTGAAGTTAATTGCGAGATATTAAAGAATAAAAAACACTTCAGGAATACTTTTTGCGTTCGCAAAATATATCCACTGTCATAATCAATAAATTTAAGAAACAATTTTACTCACCTATGCCGTATGTCTCTGCCTCATAATATTTTCAGAAAAAACAAACTTCTTCAATGACAAGGCGTCAAAGGCTGAAAAGTGTCAAGAAGTTTAAGAGGTTGATATCAATCATTTACTACTTAAATTTTGTGATCCAATTGTTTCATTAATTTGAAAAAAATTGATTGTGGCGTCCAAACACAATTTTAAAGAGAAGTGAAATCCTGGTAGTTGTTTTGATTCAATTAAATTTTTAAGAGGAAATACATAAAAGATGAAAATATAATTAAATGTGATGAGTAGTGTAGTAGCTAAATTTTTAAACTTGACAGTTTTCGTGAGCATGTGTAAGTGTGTATAAGACACTGCGAGTTGATATGGCATGTGATCATAAGTAATGTGAAGAAAACATGAAACCTGTACTCAATGATTATAAAATTTTATTTACAACTTTATTTATGAACATCATTAATTGTTTGTTAACTTCCGCGGTTTTCAGCAACTATCGTAGTTTTAAAAACTCATAAAAATTTACTATTTTTCAACACTACAAATACTTGAGGTTTGCAATGAAATACAATGCTACATACACTTCATAATGCTTTAATTCAGTTAATCATTTATATAGTATATTGAAATGCGTTTTTTATGATAATGTTTAATGGCAAAAACGTAACACAAAGGTCATGTTACCATGCTCCCGATTGCCGCTTGCCAATCTTCAGGAAAAATAAAACCTGATGTCACATTGACATAACCAGCATGATTATTTAGTTTTGCCAAAAAAAGTTTATTTAAACATCCTGCTAACCAGAAGATTTCCAAGAGAGTTTTCTTGAGCATGTGTAAGTGTGTATAAGACACTTGGGAGTTGATATGGCATGTGACATAAGTAATGTGAAGAAAACATGAGACCTGTACTCAATGATTATGAAATTTTATTTACAACTTTATTTATGAACATCATTAATTGTTTGTTAACTTCCGCGGCTTGCAGCAACTATCGTAGTTTCAACAACTTATCTAAATTCAGGCGCGGATCCAGCAGAAAAACTGACTGTGGCGCAGTTCATAATTAAGGATGTATGGGGAGGGGGGGAAGGTAAATATTTCTTCACAAAATATTTTTAGTTGGAACCTCGGAAACATTGTTACTTGTATAAACCTCAATAAGTTTGGAAAGTGTGTTTTGAAATAATCGTCTCCAGGCACTTTTACTGGTTTGCACAATGTAATAAAATGATTTTTAAAGGATGGGAATTTTGATACACAAAACAAGAGAAGCGCATCACAACAAAGCTTAACATACAGACTGCCATTATGATAATCTCTTGGATATAATGCAAAATGTATTTAAATAATTTAAAGAAGTAATCCGGATTTCCCTACAGTATCATATAACAAGATTAAGTAGATAGTATGCCTGAACAGCAAAATGAATTATTGTGAACTGAGGCAAGTATGAATATCAAGGATATAACTGAAAATGAGTAATTCTTAGCCACATTCTCCACTTTTTGCGAAACTGCAGTAATTTTTATAGCATTTTATAAGAATTTTCAAAGGAGTTTGAAACGGAGTGAGCTGCATCATTTATGTCCCAGGCAAATGCAATTTTAAATGAACTGAACACTCTAATTGCATGGACTGGATATTATAATAATAACTAGAATTGAATTTTGTAATGTTAGACAGTTCAAGACTGGTGAGGTATCTGAAGTAAGCAAACAGACACTCTTTCCAATCAAATGTAACAGAACATGCACTGAAGAGACCACACCCACTAGCTAATTTACAAAAAGGCATTTAGTATTTAGGCCTCAATGACTATTTCGTGAAATTTGTTCATTATTTATAAACAAATGTTTGAGTAGAATGTCAGCTTTCATGTACTGCAATGTAATTTTGTTCTTATCTTTAAAAAAAAACACACTCAAGTTATACTACATCTGAAAAAGAATTTTTCTTGTGTGAGATTTAAGAAAATAGCTACCTGAAGATGGATCCTTTCCAAAGTGCTCTTTTCTTTATTTTCAGCTGAATTTGAGACCATAAATCATGGAAGTGTTTAAAATAAGCAAATAAGTATGAATCTGAGGACTTGGGTGACATAATGATTCGTGAACAACATTGTTTTGTTTCGTCCCCTTTAACTAGGGGGCAGTTATATAAATAGCAAATTCATTAGCAGTAGGTTAACATATAATGCAGTGAAACTTTGTCTGCATGAGGTTTGTCGGCATGAGGACGTATGGAGGGAAATGGCAGGTAGAATTTAGCAACATGCACATGAATGAAAACACCATAAAGTTAAACTTTAATTAAAGATTGGTCATTGTATAGAACCTTATAATAAAGTAAAATGTTTCATTTCACATTCAACCAACAATAAATTAATGAGCAGAAAACTGTGTTCAAAGAATAACAGTTTTAGAAAAAGCTTATGTATCACTAACATTGCAAATGCTGCCGTATGGATATTGAAAACAAATAGTCTATTAGTACGTATATTTTAATCCCAGCTGTCAAAAGCAAATTTAATATATGTGGTTTAAACATTCATACGAAACAGGAACATTGTGTCTGGATATTTTAAATTTCAATAAGAGCTGTAGTTTGTAAATTTCCGATGTTTGTAGTATGATATCGCCAGTAGAGGTTATACATCACAGCTTTTCTTGGCTGGTTATTTCCTCCCAATCACATTCTTAATACAACAGACACTGAAATATTTTCGCTTAAAATTTCTAGTTGTGATTATAAAGTTTCCCATTGCTTTCCAATAACACCAATCTTTTTACATTCTTCTATCAAACAGTGAACAGAAGTAGCAATAGCTTTTGGCTTGTGATTTTATAGTCCCGTGAAGAAGATAAGTATCGAAGATTCGAAGTTTATAGTTGATCACTTGTATTGCGCTGTCAAAATCCATCTACCGTGGCTCACCGTGGCTCACGTGACTACAGCTCTTTCTGTGATTGGTTCGCAACCCTGCACCATGGATGAAGATTGCTATATTTAGCAGCAATTGCCAAACTTTTTACACGTCGACCGTGGCAAATTAAAGCTGTAATCGCAGCTTCGAAGTTACGAACCTTTTCCGAGCAAACTCGATAAAATTCGGCATGCGTTTAACTGTAAAATTTTACAAAAAGGCAAGAGGTTTATTTTGAAGTTTTCGTGCTTTTTTCAAAAACCATATCAAAAAGACAGTAAATTATAAAAAATATAAATCTAATTTCTTCAATTGAAGACACATTGTTGGTCAATTTGCTGTATTTCAAGTAAATACAGCAGAATTCCTAACCTTATTCATGAAATATAATCTCAAAAGTTTGAAAATTCTAACCGTGGCTCTAGCCACTTTCGCCACGGTCTGGATCCGCGCCTGAAATTAACTATTTTTCAACACTGCAAATACTTGAGATTGGCAAAAAAATACAATGCTACATACATTTCATAAAGTTTTAATTCAGTTAATCCTTTATATAGTATATTGAAATGAGTTTTTTTTATGATCAATGTTTACTGGCAAAAACATAACACAAAGGTCAATGCACATAATATCTTCACCGCCTTTTCAGGGATTCCTATTTTACCGATTGTCGCTTGTCAATCTTCAGGAAAAATAAAACCAGATCTCATACTGACATAACCAGCACGATTATACAGTTTTGCCACAAAACAAGTTCTTTTAAACCTCCTGCTAACCAGAAGATTTCCAAAGTGAAAAGACTTTAGAATCAGCATTGCAAAAATACACATGCATACTAACCCCGTCTCTGAGGCAAACACGTTCGTTATATTGTTAAGTTTATTATAATTGAAAACATCTATTTATTTAACATCTATCTATATGTTCTGACGGACATTTGTTTCTGCAAAAAACCTTTAAAAGGAACTTCAGAAACATTAGCAGGAGTTTTCAAACTTGTTTTCATATTTGTAGAGCACTAATTCTGCAAGGATAGCATGCTGGCCAAAAGATAACAAATTGATACAAACAAACAAAAACAAAAAACACATTTCCATCGCTGTAGCAATGTGTCAAATAATTTGATTAAAATATTTCTTAGGTAGAACATTGATTCAGCATTGAATGCTAAACAAAAGACCATAAATTGATATAAAAACAAGTGATTTTTACACCCCCAAAAAAGGACAATTCAATTAATTTTATCAAAATAAGATTACTGGCTGTTTTCACTGTAAGGTCAAACATATACATTCTTTAAGCATGCTTAATGTAATTACCAAATTAATTTATATATTAAATGGTTAAAATTTATATCTAATGTCACTAAGTTTATCATTCCCACTTTTCAAAGCTTTAAGATACTTCGCACCTTACTTTGTTATTTTATTTTTAGCAATATCCAGTTTAATATCTTTACAATTCTCACTTTTCAAAACTTCACTAAGAGATTTTGCACCCTCATCACCTATTTTGTTAAAAGAAAGGTCTAATTCAGTAAGCTTACAATTTTCACTTTTCAAAGCTTCACTAAGAGATTTTGCACCTTCATCACCTATATTGTTAATATTAAGAGACAATTTAGTAAGTTTACAATTCTCACTTTTCAAAGCTTCACTAAGAGATTTTGCACCCTCATCACCTATATTGTTATAATTAAGATCCAATTTTGTAAGATTACAATTCTCACTTTTCAAAGCTTCACTAAGATATTTTGCCCCTTCTTCTCCTATTTGGTTGCTACTAAGATTTAAACTAGTAAGTTTACAATTTTCACTTTTCAAAGCTTCACTAAGAGATTTTGCACCCTCATCACCTATTTTGTTAAAAGAAAGAGCCAATTCAGTAAGTTTACAATTCTCACTTTTCAAAGCTTCACTAAGAGATTTTGCACCCTCATCACCTATTTTGTTAAAAGAAAGAGCCAATTCAGTAAGTCTACAATTCTTACTTTTCAAAGCTTCACCAAGAGATTTTGCACCTTCCTCACCTATATTGTTGTGAAAAATAGTCAATTTAGTAAGCTTACTATTCTCACTTTTCAAAGCTTCACTAAGAGATTTTGCACCCTCATCACCTATTTTGTTAAAAGAAAGATCCAATTCAGTAAGCTTACAATTCTCACTTTTCAAAGCTTCACTAAGAGATTTTGCCCCTTCTTCTCCTATTTGGTTGCTTTCAAGATTTAAACTAGTAAGTTTACAATTCTCACTTTTCAAAGCTTTGCTAAGAGAATTTGCACCCTCATCACCCAAATTGTTACCACTAAGATTCAAGTCAGTGGACTTACAATTCTCACTTTTCAAAGCTTCACTAAGAGATTTTGCACCCTCATCACCTATTTTGTTAAAAGAAAGATCTAATTCAGTAATCTTACAATTTTCACTTTTCAAAGCTTTACTAAGAGATTTTGCACCTCCACCACCTATATTGTTACCAGAAAGAGACAATTTACTAAGTTTACAATTCTCAGTTTTCAAAGCTTCACTAAGAGATTTTGCACCCTCATCACCTATATTGTTTCTAATAAGAGCCAATTCAGTAAGCTTAAAATTCTCACTTTTCAAAGCTTCACTAAGAGATTTTGCACCTCCATCACCTATATTGCTATAAGAAAGACCCAATTCAGTAAGTTTACAATTCTCACTTTTCAAAGCTTCACTAAGAGATTTTGCACCTTCTTCACCTATACTGTTATGAGAAAGATCCAATTCAGTAAGCTTACAATTTTCACTTTTCAAAGCTTCACTAAGAAATTTTGCCTCTTCTCCTATTTGGTTGCTATTAAGATTTAAACTAGTAAGTTTACAATTCTCACTTTTTAAAGCTTCACTAAGAGATTTTGCACCCTCATCACCTATTTTGTTTAAAGAAAGATCCAATTCAGTAAGCTTACAATTTTCCCTTCTCAAAGCTTCACTAAGAGATTGTGCACCCTCATGACCAAAATTGTTACCAGAAAGTTTCAATTTAGTGAGCTTACAATTCTCACTTTCCAAAGCTTCACCTAGAGATTTTGCACCTTCATCACTTATATTGTTGAGATAAATAGTCAATTTAGTAAGCTTACTATTCTCACTTTTCAAAGCTTCACTAAGAGATTTTGCACCCTTATCACCTAAATTGTTCAAAGAAAGATCCAATTCAGTAAGCTTACAATTCTCACTTTTCAAAGCTTCACTAAGAGATTTTGCACCCTCATCACCTATTTTGTTAAAAGAAAGATCCAATTCAGTAAGCTTACAATTCTCACTTTTCAAGGCTTTGCTAAGAGAATTTGCACCCTCATCACCCAAATTGTTACCACTAAGATTCAAGTCAGTGGACTTACAATTCTCACTTTTCAAAGCTTCACTAAGAGATTTTGCACCCTCATCACCTAATTTGTTAGAAGAAAGATCTAATTCAGTAAGCTTACAATTCTCACTTTTCAAAGCTTCACTAATAGATTTTGCACCTTCATCACCTATATTGTTATAAAAAAGAGACAATTTAGTAAGCTTACAATTCTCACTTTTCAAAGCTTCACTAAGAGATTTTGCACCCTCATAATCTATATTGTTTCTATTAAGAACCAATTCAGTAAGCTTACAATTCTCACTTTTCAAAGCTTCACTAAGATACTTGACACCTTCAGCTGCTAATTTAGTATTACTAACATCCAGTTTAATAAGTTTACAAGTCTTACTTTTTAAAGCTTCGCTAAAACATTCAGCCTCTTTCGCAGTTAGAAAGCTTTCAAGAATAAAGAGTTCAACGTATTTACAATTCTCACTTTTTAAAGCTTGGCTTAGTGTTTCTGTATTTTTATTGGCATAAGTGTGAAAGTGAATATCAAGTTCAGTAAGTTTACAATTTTGACTTTTTAAAGCTTCAGTAAAAGATTTAGCACTTTGTTTACTTATATTGTTGCCACAAATCTTTAATTTAGTAAGTTTACAGTTCTCATCTTTCGTAGCTTGAATAAGCAAATTAGCCCCTGGATCTTTAAGTTTATTAAAACGAATATCCAATTCACTTAGTTTACAGTTTTTACTTTTTAAAGCTTCACTAAGATATTTAGCACCTTCTTTACCTAAATTGTTTTTCCTAATTTCCAATTCACTAAGTTTACAATTTTCGCTTTTTAAAGCTTCACTAAGATGTTTTGATATATCATTAACACGACATGAATTAATTTTCAAAGAGACTACATTGCATGCTTTAACTTTTGACAAGTATTTTGACAATCTAACGACGCTATGATTATCAGGAAATTGGCATGAAAAAAACGCGAGTTTTCTTAATTGTCGGCATTCAGAGAGAAATTCAAAGAAGGCGTTTGAATCAAGAGGCGTGAAAGAAACGTTATCAATGGATATTGTTTCAGAAAAATTATTTGACTCGCAAGCTGATCTCATCTCATCGTCGTCTTGTAATTCGTATAAGCACTTCATTCCAAGAAAACCAAGTGCTTTATTACCCTCTGAGAAAAATAAATGTGAGATCCAACTTTTTAACCTGTAATTATAAAATATACCGTGTTGTAAAACTTTTGAGAGTTTGGTTTAAATTGTTCAAAAAAATAAAGCCCTTAAGAAAAGCATCATGAAATTAGAACTTTTTGTAAAACAACTTTGGTAACAATAGCTAGCTATAATCTTTTAGAAATAAATTAAAATAAATCAGATAATGCACACAACGTTTACCAATGCCAAGTGCAAATTAATATTACATGAAAGTAAAAACTCCTTGCTACTTTTCAGAACAGCCAGTTCAGTTGCGTTGGCAGCGTGATAGTTAACTGCATGGGAGAGGTGAGAGGAATCAAAATTCATTTAGGCATGTCTTGATTAATTAATTCGCCGAAAATTTCATTTAAAAAACAAATCATAATTGTACGTCATGTATGTGCCTCCCAACGCCACGGAGCAAGTTTATAAGAAACAAAATATTTGTAAATTTACTTAAACAGTAGAACATGTATTAAGCGGCACCGTATTAAGCTGTCACACTCTGTTAAGCGGTTAATTGGCAAAGTCCCGAAGTTTCATGGTGTAAATATTGTTAAAGCGACCTTTATTAAACGGTCACCTCTAATAAGCGGACGCGGTCACCTTTTTCAATGTCGAAAACTTAATTTTTTATTGTTTTAAAATTGTATTAAACGGTCAGGTTAAGTAAATACACCCCATAATAAAATATATAATTAAATATTTTTCCTGGAACATGTCACTTATATTGTATACATGACTTTATGTTGTATTTATCTTTCGTAAGATGACTTAAAAGATCCAACAATATTTTCTGTTCGTGTGAACAATAACGCCAGCAATTTAACGTTTCTTACGTCCTTCAGCCATTGACAAGAAAACATGTCTCCACAAAAGGGATATACGCACGGAATATGTGCAAATGATTGTTTTTCAGCAGTTTGAGCCGTGACATTTTTATGTATACTATTTTTAATTTCTAGTTCAAACTAAGAAAAAAAAGTGCCTTATATAGTAATGTTATTTGGCATGTTAACGAACAATACCGATTGGTCAACTTTAGTTTGTTAAATATAACACGTAGCGCATTTGGTGATTTTCCTAAAGAACTATAATAAGCGGTCAACCTGTACTAAACGATCACACAAGAAATCTCCATATGTGACTGCTTAAAACAGGTTCTACTGTATATAGATGTAAAAGAGATTATTTGTCATGTAAAATTATAGCTACTTTTATCTGGATCGTTTTTTCAGGAATTTCTATACACACAAAACTTTTTACGACGTTTGTCTCTCTTGCAAAAGCCTTTTTTATTAAAAACTCATTTTCAAAACATGTGCCTTTAACCTACAGATTTGGAAAAAAGTACACCCCCCCCCAGTATGTAAAATTATCATTTTAGGTTTGTGTTTGGGCCTCTTTATTCTCAGAGAAATGATGACGAATATATGAAACAAAAACGTACTGTTAACAATCGTGAATAATAACTTTAATCTCACATTCAAACTCAACAGAAAGAGCAATAACATAATAACATAATAGCAACCATATTGTTGATGTCTGCTATTGTTGATTCGGAAGTTTGTAAATTGCAATTACGATGTTGAATGTTCAGCATATTGGCAGAATGCCCCCTATCTTTTCACAAACGATTAATGTTACCATAATGCATAAGCCTAGTTTGCATATAGTTGTAATTGTTGTAATTAAATGGGATATTTAGCAATAAGTACAAAGAACCTTCCCTATTCTCAACGCCGATATTTCAAAAAAAAACACGCACATGCGTTAGCCTATCGTGGTTAGTGTTCTTAATGGCAATATTTATGCTTTGATGCAAAGCGTAAAAAATCGATTGCAATATAAAGGGAGAATGAGCTTTGGGTCCGGCCAGTGGCGTAACTAGAACGTTAATTAGGGGGTGGGTGGGTATATATTCATATATTCCGTTGTGTCCAACTGATTTCTTTTGAAAGTAATTTGAATTGTAAAAGAAATCATTAGGGCACAACAGAATATAGAAATATACACTCCCCAATTAACGTTTTAGTTACGCCTCTGGGTACGGGTAATTTTTTAAGTGTGCGAAAATTTTGTTTAATGAGTTTTGTTCGACATTTTTGTACAATTTCGTTGAAAACGTAACAAAATAACATGAGCCCCAAGGCAGCCAAAGATCATCATGGTGAAAATTCTGAGCCTACAAGCAACTTTTTAAAAATTGCTAAGTTTTTCTATTATTTAAATCATTATTTGTTTTAAAATACAACTATCTACTAAGAGCATCGTGATTTTGTTGACTAAAAATTCTGATAATTTTTCCTTTTTTAAAGCTTAAATGTCTTAAGGTAGGTAGGTAGGTAGGTAGGTAGTTTATTAAAATATTAATTGCAGCCTTGCGGCTGAATTGCAAATATCTAATTTAGTAAAATTATATTAACAAATAAGTATCTAACAATAAGTATCTAAAAATCTAAAAATAAGTATCTAAAAATGGTACTTGCTAACACCAACAGAGACAAAGAAAACTCCATACCTGGCCACTTTTGTGTAACTTTATGTACACAAGGACAGGATGAACGAGTTCTTTGCTCTGTTGGTGCGAGCAAGCGGAACTATATATTTATGTTTACTTCTCAGGCTATATTTACAGTTATTTTTGTTTGGCAGTAAATTTCTTAATTTATGGCGTTCATTTGTTTCAATTGTCTGTTTCAATTAACTCCATATTCCAAGGCTTGTAGCAATATGTGTTACTTAGAATGCTGCGTAGCCCCAAAATTTGGCAAAACAGCCAATTAAGTAAGTATCGTTCACCATTTCAAATAGAAATGCTACTGAACTGTTAGTTTTATGCAAATACAACGTCTACAAAATATGATTAGCACTTGATATAAAATGCCGGAAATTGCACTTCCGAGACATTGAAAACCAAAATTTTCCGGACCCCCCAAGATAGCTAACGGTTCTGGCGTTTCTTGAATTACGTTTCAAAAGTCCTAGATCAGTCATTGCTGCGTAGCAACTAGTTTCTATCTGCTGATTAGAATAATTAAATTTGCTGTCAATTGCTATCGCCGACTAGCGTTCCCATATCAGGGTACACATTGGAGGGTGGTGTGCTTGGGGGGGAAGTCTACCCTTCTTCTTAAGATTTAAAAAAAACTTACTTTAATCTTTTTTGCCCTGCTGGTGATATATATCAGAGAGCCCCCCTAGTTAAAATTTTTGCAATACACCCTTGTCTCATATCATTTCTTTTACGTCAGTGATTGCTTTTTCTGCACTTAACTTACAATTTCAACTATATGGGAACAACGCTTTTTAAAGAAAAATTGGTGTCCTTTAAAATTTGAGTGAAATATGTTCTACTCAATAACATGCTAGGTTTCAAGAAAGTACGTGTTACTGATATACTCATTAATATACGAGGTTTGAGTAAAATAATATTAACATATGCAGTAACATGCAATGCTCTGAGAGTTTGCTTCTTTACAAAAGGCCAACTTTGCAAACCAAAATCATTTATAAGATATGTAGCGAACCGTAAGTTTTAGTCTTGCGATGTAGATTTTAGAGGATTTTTGGTTCTTAATTATTTTTTTAAGTCTATTGTGTTTGCATTTAATAAACTCGAGAATATATGCATAACTGGACTAAATTTGACGGTTGACCACTCCACTGTCATCGATCCGGGCTACACAGCTTTGCAAAGTTTGGTAACTGTGTCATAACCTAATTTTGAAGTGTATAATTTATTCATGTGTTGTTGATGTGCGTAACACACGTTTAACAGTTAATTGGTGTTTGCGTTTTTTACACTCGTACATCGTATGAGTGTGTATGAAAGACAAAAGATTTTCACGTCATACTCCTAGTGTAGAGAACTCGTAATTAAGTATTTCGCCACCAAATTAAGAAATTTTTAGTTTGAATAGAATAAATTAGATTAAAAAACTAAAGTCTAAGAGAATTGAAACATACTTCCATAAGCAGGTATTTCAAGCACTTAAAAATAATATCATACCTGTTTGTAACAACACTGATGTCTTTAATCTTTCCTCTTTTCTTTGTATCTCCGACTAAACCAGCAATAAACTCCACCACCATATACCATTTTGGATCTTCAGCATGATCATCCAAAAACTTTTCAATGTTTCGCCAATCGTCAACAACACACCATGCAGTAAGAAATTCTTGAAGAGTCAAATGTAGAAAACAATAAAGATCACGTTGTTTATCTGGTAATTGATGAAAAAAGCCGCAATTGGCTAAATTTTTATTATCTGCTAAATTTGGTTCATCAAAAATCAAACTCCCTGTCTCAATTCCTTTTTTTGCAATATTTTTCATTATCGTCATGTCATTGTCAAGTTCTTTCGGCAAATCTTTGACCAGATATCCTTTGTTAGTTTTTGGTATTGATCCATCTTTACAACGTGGATGGTGTTTCCAAATTAAGATCTTGACTGCTCTTTTGTACAATTCAGTGGTAGTTTTTGGAATAAATTTTGCATCATTTATAAAGCATTCTTTTAGGGTCAGACAGACAATGTATGCATTGACGGGGATATAACACAAGCTACGAATTTCATTAGAACTATCGATACAATTCAAAATCAAATCTCTGCTACTCTTATCTTCCTGGCAAAATTTGTCGACATATTCCTTCATCTGATCTTCAAAAAAGCCCAAAATTTCGATAGTCCTGCGAAATTTTAGCTTTTCAAACGCATGTTCTGCTGTAGGTCGTGATGTTATAAGAACAGTGCTACCATGTAGCAGATCTCCTTTTACTAACATACTTAAAATTTGAAATGCTGGCATTTTAGCATCATGTTTTACAGGGCCAGCGGTACTTCCACCTTCATTTTCTATAGACAATTCATCAAGACCATCAATGATAAAGACAGCTTTTTCTGGATAATTAAGTATATCTTCGTAAATTTGAGGAAACAGCTTGCATGAGAATCCATCGCAATCAATTAACATGTTTTTAAGTGTTATTGATCCAGTTTTTAGAGCACGACATCGCAATAACAAGACTATTTTGTCATGCCAAAATTCATCTTTATTGTTTTTCCATTCATGCATTATTTTGTTTGTTAACATAGTTTTACCAATTCCAGGCCTACCAATAACCAAAATAGAACGTGGATATAACAACTCTTGCTCACCCTTGATTGGCTTAAAAATTTCAGTCACTTTTGTCAACTTTTGGGTATTGCTTTGAATGTCGAAATGACAATTAAAAATTTCATGCCTTCGAAAAGTTTCTGGGTAAGCGTTCGTACTTTGCCTTTCTGTTTGGATTATGACGTTCACATAAATATCGTCAAGCTTGCGCCAGTCCTTTTTATCACCACCAAAGTCTTCAAATATTTCAAATTCTTTGTAGGTTTTTTTAATTCTTTTCAACCGTTTTGGAAACACACAACGTTTTTGCAAGATGAAAACCGTGAAAAATTCGTTTTCTGAAGCAAAAATTCTGAAATTGTAGAACATATAAGCCAAATATATTAACTCAAAAATTGTCAGTATCATCAAAACAACATCAGCAGCTGCAACAACATAGAATATGGTTTCACTTTTATCCCCACCATCATTTTTACAGTTGAGAACTGTGACGTTGAACGAAGTGAAAGCTTCTTTTGACGTTTCATGCAGCGAACAGGAGAAGTTGTTGGGAAATTTTGCTTTGAAAAGTATGGCAACAAATATGATCAAACTGATAAGACGAATAATTAAATAAAACATGTATGTTAAATAAAGGCAAAATCGATCATTAAATGAAGCGTTTCTGAACTGAGCGTCTTGAGGATATTGTGCCAATAAATTTTCACTATCACTATCACTGTTAACTGATGGATCAACGTTTTCAAACCTTTTAACTCCATGCTTCACAAAATATCCATAGACGACACTCAAAACTAAGACAACACTCACATTTAAGGTCACCATCAGAACAATAGGCTGGTTGTACAGTAAATCGTTTTTGTATTGTCTCCAACAACTTGATTCAATGTTCTTCATAAGAGAGGTTTCTTTGGTCTTTGATATAATCTCATTAAAACAATGAAATGAATTATGACTGTCTGAATTTACTGATAAACCAATTACAAAAGTGCCAAATACGCCAAATAGAATAAGCATCAGACTTTCAAACCAGGGAAAGCTTTTTATTGGTAGATATTCAAGACACTTTTCCATCTTCGTTTCCTTTAAAAAATGCATTGAATACATAATGTAAATCAACAATTTGGATACAGGAGTCATTGTTAGGGAGTATTGACTGGTTAGTAAAACACTGGGAACCAAGCTAATATGATCTTACTTTGTTAAAAATTTATATTAACGATGGAAAATTAGGAGAAGACTAGCATTTATTTAGAACATATAAGGCGTTCCACTCCTGACGTTTGTTCAGCAGAGTAATTATTTTACTGATATTTAGTAATTTGAAATTAAACGTTTTTATCGATGGTATGAAAAATAACCATACATTTTTGTCATAAAACTCCTACATATACTAGCTACAATCCTTCGCTGTATATGCGAGACTTTGTTAACAGTTTAAAATCAAGAGCTGATCTAACGAACCATTTGCAACGCTCGTATGACAAAAACGTATGAGTCGCCTTAAGTCGCATATGAAGCTCATGTCATTTATTTCTTTCTTCTCAAACCAAAGTGCGTGATTACAAAGTGCCTAAGAATGAAAAGTTATTAACTCAAATGTCTAAATGTTTATATGAATCATCGGCTTCGTTGAGTGCATTGTCTTGATGTTGCCACTTATTCTGACTGGCCGACAATGAGGAGAAAAGGAAGGAGAACAAATGCAAAAGCATTCCTGAAAACGTAACAACACAGACAAGGAGCTGATGTCAAAATGGCACATTATATGAGGAAAGACAAAAGGCAAAAGATCTGGTCTTGAGAAGAGCAAGAACAGCAAACTAACAACCTGTCGTGAAGAGCTGGTTCAGATAATTGCATCATTTGGTATAGTGATATGTTTAGTGAGCGTAATAATTTTTTGTATAAACTTATAAATTAGAATGACGTTTTCGTTAGAATAACTTTAACTTTATATAAATTCGATTTATCTTTAATATCAAAGAGCTTTGAACATTTTAATTCTATTGGCATCTACTACAGAGATCCCACGAGATACTACGCATACGCACATTGGTCATTCTCTACCTTACTCACCGCCATTACAAATGGCGTGTTTGGTCATATACGAATAGTCCATAAAATAATATGCCATCCTGCTGTGTAGAACGACAAAAAAGTTCTAGAAAACAATACAGGACAAAACACCTACATAACCACTGAGTTTGCGCTAGGGGCGGATCTAGGATTTTTCAAACATCAGTCATAAAACGTCGGAGGCGTTTTGCACCTGGAGGGTCTGAGGTGTTCTCCCTTGAGAAATTTTGAATTTAGGAGCCTTGAAAATGCCATTTTCAGCGTTTTAGAGCAATACAAAATGTATTTTGTGGGCATCGTTTTTGAGTAAAAACAACACCTTTTGCTTACGTTTTTTTTCAAAAAAAAAATGAAGTGAACAATACTTGAATAGGGCTTAGACCCCCATTCAAACCTCTATGTAATTAGTTAAGTTAGAAATTTGGTACTACAAGGGACAGTTCATAGATATAGAAAAGCTAGACTTCAAACCATGCAAGTTTATCTTAACCCTTTACCCATCTCCTTATCAGTGCCAGGAAATTCACCTTTTGAGAAAACAAGTCAAAATTTTTTTCTGCCAAAAATTAAGCAAAAATTATCAGAGTGAAAATTTGCAGTTAAGGACAGCTTAATGCCATAAATGTTTATTAGGCATTTCACTAGACTATTATCTTCTGTAAGTATATGCAAGGTGTGCTATATAGCAATCACTAGTAGCATTGTATTTGCAAATACAAACAGAATGTGACGAATATGTCTTTAATTTTATAATTGCATGAATGTTAAAATTGGTTCATGTGTCATGCTTACTGGTTATGATAAATATTTTTTCATATGATCAAAGCTCGTTTAAATGTAAATCTGATATAATTTAGTTTAGAAATTATAATGATCATCAGAAAAATTACCTAGTGATCATAAAAAATACTTTGCTGTTTTGCCAAATTTCATGATTCATCTGCATACATAATAACACATTTTTACTTTATAGAAAATGCTTTTCATACATCAATAGCCCTTTGGAATTTATGGCAATTAATCTGGTATGAGCCGTAGATCAACACACCTTAACATCTCTACATGAGGTGTTCAGTTAGAAAAGGAGACGATATGTGACACGGGACAACATTTCATGTATGTGAAATACTCAGCTTTAATACTATTCCAGTCAAATTGTCAAAATAAAAAGCTTCATGGATTAGAAGACACAAAATCACAGGTTATAGTAAACAGTTTCTCATGCAATCAATGTTAGTTTTCTCAAATCTTAACTGTCCAATGATTGAATGATCAATGATCATGAACTGAAAAGTCTCAAACATTTGTTTATGATAAAGTAAATAAGTGTATGGCGCCTTATGGCTACAGATTTTTTGTCCATTGAAATATATTTGCAGGAATGTAGGATTTTGCTGCCATATAACGGCCACGATTCCCCAAGCACTAAAGAAATCATAGCTAAAAGTCCTTCGGCAACAACAATTTTAGAAGCATCAATCTGCTTACCATACGCCTTATTAACATAAATCGCATCACACACTCGCATAAATTGACTTTGATATATTACATTCATGCATACACTTCAGTTGTCCTTTACTTAAGATTTTGGATGTAAATTTCTGCTGATAAAACTCAAAAAAATGTTGGCATTCTTTTGAAAATCAATGACTGAAATGTCGCTCGCGAGATCGTCTTTGCCAAGCATTTACAATTTATCTATAAATTTTTCACCCTCTTGAAAAAATTAACAGTTTGGACAGCAGCATTCATGTCAATATACGAATTTGTAAAATATTTCCATAAATTCCATCTGATTGTAGTTTAGTTTCTATCATGCTTATAAACATTACTATGAAACGATCAAACATTCAATTCAGAAATTGAGCTTGACTTTGTTAGTTTAGTTGGCTATCAGTCGAAATCGGTCAAACCAATCAAAATGAAACAAAAATTCAAATGAACCAATTGTAATATAGCAATTGGACTCCCTTATACGTCCGGCCACCCCTCTTATCAGTCGAGACCATTCTAGACTGTCTACTGATCTGGCCATTAACCAATAAAATAAGCGTTTTTGCCGTTCATAGACTCCTTTATCAGTAGAACCAGTCAAGCCACCCCGCTTATTAGTCGGTTACATTGAGTTCTATAAGACCTGAAGGGGGAAAGGGCCTGGACGCCGTGGTCAAAAACATGGCGGTAATGGCGGATTCTGGTTGTCATAACTTCCACTTTGAGAAAAATTTTTAACATTCGCTCCCTCCCGAACCCGGATCTCTATTCCTGCTTATATCAATGACAACCAGCGAAAACAACCACGATACCGTAAGCATAAAATATTGAAAATAATGCTTCAGGTTTTTGTGAAATAGACACACACATTTAAATGAGGTAAATCTACTGTAAAATAATGTACATTTAGTCAAGTAATGTTTTAGCTATATTAGAAATAAATATCAAACGGCTTTCTTTACACAGTCAATGTGTTGTTAAGCTTTAATGCATAATCCCATGCGCATTACTTGTGTTTTTGACTGTTTGTTAACAGCTTGGTGCAACTGTCTTTCTTGAATAGATGAGTAAATCTTAGTTAAAATGTCCAAAAAGGAGTTAGAAAAAAGCTAGCTTACCCCTACGACTCAAGTCGACTGGAAATATACTATAAGTAGGTATGTACTTTTTTTGAGTGTTTTTTGGTAGGATTGATTCTGGGTGTCTTGTAAGGTATTATGATATTCTGATAAATATACTGAGAAAATATCTCCAACTAGGAAAGCAAAAGAACGAAATTCAGAAGTTCTATAATCATGTTGCTGGTTGTGTTTTGAGCCAAGATATTAGAAAGGGGATTGTCATTGACAACCATGGATCTACTACTGAACAGAACTACATTAATTTCCCATTGAAAATGCGATTTCTTAAATTAAAGTGCATTGGTTTATCTGACATAACACTTTTCTTATTGCTGCATGAAGGCAAATCTGTTTAAATAATTTAATGTGGGTCAAGATATTTAGTATGTTGTATAATTGTTGTTGTACAGTCATTATTTATAATATTATGGCCTTTTGTAATGTATGTCAAGAAGAACTTATTAATTCTCAAAAATGCTAACCTTCTTGCACTACTTTTCCCTTGTGTCCTTACAAATTACAGTTACCTATACTAATTTTTTCTAGGTTCAAACAACTTGACAAACTTTTGAATTTTACATTATGCCTTTGAATTTTTGTTTTCGTCTTTAGATAAAAATATCAGTGAATGACTTAAAAATCAAGTTTATCTAAAATAGTATTTTGTACAAAGAAACTATTCAGAACTGGAAAAGTCTCATGTTGAAGACAGATGTCGCTTCTTTTACTAGATTGCTTCTTATATTCTTTTAAATGATATCGCAATTCTTCAAGACATAAAAAGTTCTTTGCCATCAATTTTTGCTTCTTCCACACTCAACTTCATTGCAACCAATGCATCTTATGTGAATTTTTAATCACCCGGATATGAAAAATGTATAGATTTTGTCAGATGATGCAGTACTGTATTTAATGTTTCATGCATGTCATCATAAGCTTATCTTGAGCAAATATTTCAAGGTAGGAGCATAATTTGGCACATTATTGAACAAAGTAGTTTTTTTCTTGATTTCCATGTACTAACCTGTTTACTATAACAAACAGTTCATTTACAGAAACACCAGATGGCATTTATAAAACTTTTAGCAAAAAGCAAACCTTTACACACCATCATCATGATTGTCCATAATCTGTCAAATTGTCCACGTTAGCTGTTTAATACAGGTATTTTTTATTGTACGACATGTACCAAAGAGCTCATTAATTAATCCTGCACTGCATTTCATTTCAATACAGCTCTGATCTTAATATTTGCTTCATATTTTCAGAAAAATATCATGAAAATTCTTCCATTTCTTAAATGTAAACTGAGTTGAAACAAGGAGTTTTAAGATACGCATATCTCGATAAAAATTGGTTGCTTTGCCTCGTGTAGCAAGCGATTAAGTAAAGAACAAATAAGACTGGATAAACACAACTTAAATTATAACTTAGGAGTAAAAACATTCACAAAATATATACCATCACACTTGGAGTATTGACTTAAAACAAAACACTAAACACTTTGAATAGTAAACAATCTTACGTTGCTTAAAGGTGTCATGAAATGTTTCCTTTTCTGGCATTACTTCAGCCTCCGTACACCAAACAAGTTTGCAGCATGCTTAAAGATAAAATTTCTAAAAGTTTTTGTGCTTGTCATTGATAATTTATATAATTGCAATTGTGGTTGTCAAATCCGGGTGGGCGAAAAAAATTTTATTTTTAGAGCCCGCGTCTTTCCGCTGACTTCGACAACCAAAGTCCGCCATGTTTTTGACCACGCAGCCGCGTGCTAATAATTTATAGTAATTTTTGTTGACATTTCCCCTCCAGGTCTTATAGAACTCAATGGCCGGTTATTCCAGGTCAAGTAAAATTCAGTTGATCTGGTTACCAACAAGATATTCATTGGATTAGTCATTAGTTTTCAATAATAAATAAAGCTGGATTTTTATCACGAAGTAAATGCGATAATAAAGTAAGAATAATTAATGAATTTTAATTAATGTGAATAGGTAATTTTTAAATTTCAAACATCACTCGCACGACGTATTTGACATACTCTGGATCCGCCCTGGTTTGCGCGGCAAACTCTTTTTCTGTGGTTAGATAATCTATTGAACAACACATGGCACAAGTCAGCGAAGCAATTGTGAAAGCTGACGACTTGACGCTCTTGTATATCCATCCTAATCCGACGCTTTTGGGATTATTAGGAGACGTGAATGTAGACGATGAACCAAAAAAGAAAGGGTCTCGTCTATAAGGGAAAATGAGCAAATCTGGCGGAGCCGGGTATAAACACCCTGCTAAAGCCAACAACAACAATCTCCTAGAAAAAGGAAATGACGGAAGAACTACTTTGGATGACCTTAACAGAAAAGTCGATCAACTTACTGTTTGATGAATACTTTTGCTCCTGTCGTAAAAGAGCTCAAGCAGGCTTTTGATGCTGCACACCAAATGAACGATGGTGACGATATGTCTGAAGGTGAAACTGATGACGAACACTCAACAAACGGGCTGCTGCTGCAGTTGCCAATACTTCTCCAGCTCTAGCAAACCAAAGCGATGCTTTGGTAGATGAGCTGATTCACGAAGTAACTGAGAATAAACCGATAGACCAACCATTGCCAACTAAAATTTCAAAAATACTGACCAGAATTTTGTCCACTGGACTAAACGACCAAACATTATCAAAACGGAAGGAAGGAGTAAAATGACCCGCAAACTGTGACCTTTTAAGAGTTACAAAGGTGAACCCAGAAACTTGGGACATTGTTAGGAAATCCACACGTAGCATGGATGCACGTCTACAAAAATTACAAGAAGCCTTAATAAAGGGCCTCATTCCGATTTCACAAATTGCTGGAACGAATATTACCTCTCTTGGAACAAACCTTACAATATCTGCACCAACACCAGATGTAGTCTGGGATGGGCTGTCCACATCTATTGTGCTTTTCGCTTTAGCTAATCATGATCTGAACATGCGCCGCAGGGACTTGTTTAAAGTTGACCCTGATGAAAATTACAAGGCGATATGTAGTAGCAAAGAACCTGTTGCTGCAGAACTGTTTGGTGATGATTTAAAGGAACGCCTGAAAACAGTAAAAGAAAGCAAAAAGGCTGCACAGCAACTGACAAGCCAAAAACGGAAACGCAACGATCAACGCTCTACCAGCTCATATAATAACAATGTGCCTTTTTTATTCCAACGTCGGGGCGGTCATTTGCAAAGCAGAACCAACAAAGCAACAATTATTAAAACCAACACAAGAGAAAAGTCAAGACAGGGGGAAAACACATAGAAAGCAGTATTTTTCACCGTACCCAGTCCAGCTGAAACAATCCAATTCCATAAAAATATCTCCTTCAAAAGTCCAAAATGTCGATAGTCACGTTTTCTTAGAGCAAAGAAAGATTGATCTTTTAGAATTATATTAAACCTAAAAGAGCTCAAACGGGATCCCGTTGAGTCACCTGAATTTTTCAGGTTCATGAAACAATTGCCTAAATTGTCCAGCAAAGTGCGAAGATCATATCTTCATTTAATTTCAAAACACCGCACTGCACATCAAAATCTTTCATATTTAGGGTTTGTGTTAAATTCAATAGATATGACGATCTCTATAACCAGAGAGAAACACAACAAATTATGTGAGGTTGCCAGGGGGGTGCTAAAATCTGACTCTCCTAGCATACGGGAAGTGGCCAAGTTAATTGGTATGATGGTAGCTTGTTTTCCTGGCGATGAATACGGCCCACTGTTTTATCGTGATCTTCATTGGAACAAAACAACAACTCTTAAGTCAAACAGGGGTAATTTTGATGCGACATTGAAACTCTTCCCTTCAGCACTGAGGGATGGGCGCAAGTATTGACAAACAGTCCACCGTAGGCGAATGGTCAATCCCCGAAAAAGACTCGCACATTAATTGTCTGAAACTCAAAGCAATACTGTTTGAGCTACAATCTCTCTGTACAGATCTAGTCCACACCCCCACATTAAAGTAATGATTGACAATACCAAAGCCCTTGCATATATTAACCACATAGGGGGCTGCCACTCTCACCATTGCGATAAAATTGCAAGGGAAATATGGGCGTGGGGCAGAATCAGGGACATATGGTTAACTGTCTGCTATATCCCTGGGAAATACACATAGCACACGAGCACACGAGCCGCAGCCACCAGTAAAGCAAAGCAATGTGATGTTTCAATAAACGCTATATTGAAAGCTGCAAGTTGGAAAACTGATTTCGTTTTTCATCGATTTTACAATAAGAACGTTGTGTCTCAACGTGACGATGCGGAGTTTGGGAATGCCATTCTTTCAATGCATCCCAATAAGAAAGATATTGCATGAGAATTCTCTTTAGTTGAACTTGGCACGCAGTCCAGAACACATATACTTCCATGTAAAGTGAATAAGAAGGAATTACTTTGTATTCATATTTGTTATTATTTCTTGGTATGTTTGATACATCTCCAATTAAAATATGTTTATAACTTAATGTCGTATTTGCGTGTAGGCATGAAGTGTGTCCACATGACTTTCAAATCTCGTGGGATCTCTGCGGTATATGCAAATAGAATTAGGAAATTGAACGAGACTTAACTGAAGTTAAAGTTCGATTGAGATTCTACTAGCGTCTACAGAGCAAAGACTATACGCGCACCCATCATGTTACTGACTTCCTGCATATCGTTCATATGCACATTTAGGCGGTTCATTTGGCCACTATCTTTGAAATATGACCAATGTGCGCATGCGTAGTTTCTCGTGTAATCTCTGCTCTGTAGATGCTAATAAAATCCCAATCGTCTAGTAAACCAGGTAAGTCTAGTTCAATATCCTAATTATCTCACAATTCTTATATTATTCAAACTGCAACGGAGAGATTAAAGTTTGCGCAGATTTAAAATACCGCTTGTCGAAAATAAAAACAATTTTAGACAAGTGAATTCTTCACTTTCACTATAAATGGCTTGAAGAACTTTTCCGAAAGGCGTTTGTTGACAGCTTCGTTTGACCAAGTGGAGGGAGCATATTACAAATATCTACGCTATTCTTGAATGATTTTGAACAGACTCCCACTGCGTATAATTTTATAAATCTTAAATGCACAAATTGAAAATGACATGAAATGCTGTAGAATTATTAAATTTTCATAATTTTTCGTCAACATTATAAGTAGTGTACAGAATGCAAGAAGTTCGAATACAAAATTTGTTTTCGGAATCATGTATTTATATACTTATAATTATTCATCATCCACAAAAATGTATTAGTTTCCGCAATTAAAAGTGAACATACAGCAAATATCTATGCTGTTCTTCAATTACTATGAAAAGAATCTTACTATTAAATGATCTGATATCCTTCATAAAATAGTTGCAAACATTGTGATTTTAGATGTATTCAGGATATAAGCTTTCACCTATATTTATTACGCCACGTGTAAATTCAATATGTGATTTAAATAAAGTCATGGCAAAGCAAAGTCACCATGAAAATGTGAAGATGTGAAACAAGAGTTTACGCTGACAACATGTATGGAAATATCTTTCGAATTACGTGCAAGGTTCACACTCTCAACTTAAACAAAATCACATTTGGTTTATTTATCAGCTACATTTGGCCGGTATTTATAGTATTTCCCAATATTTGGTGAATATTTTTGTTTTATTTAGTAAATTTCATAAAAGCACAAGTACAAATCAAGAAAATAAGAAACAATTTCTCTCACCTACGTCCGATCCTTTTTGTCTGTACGTTTAGGAATAGGTGGGACTTGAAATTCTTTACCAAACACAGGCTTCTTTCAAATATCACTATGTAGCGGAAATGATGAAAGCAAAGAAAACAGGATCTTGTTATACTCTATCATCAGAAAACTCCACGCGTGTTGGCAACGCCAAGACCAAAAACCAATAAAATACTTGCTATTACGTTTTCTCGCCCGTGCGTCACGAAATAATGAAATGCGTGATTATGTAACTACTGCGTCACACAAATGATAGTATTGCATATGATAATTTCAAAACTAATGTGTGGACTTTCAAAATTTCAACAATACATGAAGATATACAAATTATTCATCATGTGAACATATCGTGATTCATTATAATTAAATCATAATATTATGTAAAATTACATATTGTATATTGCCAAATTCCTTTCTAATTATTTACATAAGGTATTGTTATGAATATTTTCAGCTCCATATTAATCCTTATTAATGTCACATTATGGGACTAAACAGTAGGGCCACTTCACTGTGCTACTGGCTGCTGTATATTTAATTCGTTTACTGGCTGCCGTTTGCCATTTCGTCAATCGTATTTGTCACACAATGCAATTTACTGGCTGCTTATATGGTAATCACATACGTAATAAGATATACGTGGCACGTAAAAATTAAATGGACTGGTCCTACTGTATGTTCTCTATACTGTGATACTGTCGATGAATGTTCGTTCACGCCACTTTCCCTCAAGAAATCTTTTTTGTCACACGCTCTTTTAATCTGTAGGTTAAAGTTTATAGTTTAATGACGTTAAGGTTTTGTGCTAGAGCCTTCTTTGTAAATTTCTTATCGGCAAACGTAAAGCAATAAAGTCAGCATGAACGCTTTTCTCTTAGCAGCCGTTCTAATTATCAAACATGTTGTATAGAAACTCATTGTGGTCAAAGTCAATGAAGCATTGAGTATATTCATAGTTTATATAGACAGTGAATATTCAATTTATTTTATGATATATGCAGCCTAAAACACTAATATTTAAAGCTGAAAATTCTGTAACGTTGACCACCTTACTTTCTTTATTTGTTGTGCATATATACTTGCTTCTTTCGTTAACTACTGCATCTGCTGTAAGATTCCATTCAATGCATATATTTCTCAAAAGTTATTCAATATTATATTCGCAAATATGGAAAATCAGCACAATAACCTTTCGCTCGATATGCGCTAGAAATTTGCAATTGGACAGTTGCAAAAGAATTTGTTAAAAAAAGAACGCAGATTGTGTCTTTTTCAAAATTTTAAATACAAAGAGCTGCAATACAGGTTTCTATGAGTCATTAGCATGTTAAGGTTTGCCAGAGTCAAAAATAATACTTGTAAACGTTTAATGCCCTTACCAACAGAAGTTACCTCCCCCGCAAGTACACTTTGAAAAGAGATCAGTCGGGCACGCCTGAATATACGAATATACGCCTTCCAAGGTTCAACGTTCTAGCACAGAAAAACATCTAACAGAAGGCCCACTTGGCTAAAATCGTGGCGTATTTTTTTCACAACGAATGCGTGACTTCCCAGCAAGATACTTTCACAAAATCCCCAGCTAGCACACGACGTTTTTTTAACGTTGGCTGAAGGTTGTATTTAAGTTGCGTTGTGACATAACGTTAATACAAAGTTCTTACCACGTTGTTTTTCTTATTCAAATTTTAACCACGTTGTGTCAACGTTGGTTAAACGTTAAAATTAACATTCGGTAAGGAAGTTATGTTGTAACGTTGAAACAACGTTGTCTAAGATGAACGTTGGTATAAGGTGATTTTTTTATCGCGTGCCCGTCGTTATTGTCTGACGTTGTTTCAACTTCGGTTAAACGTAAAGATGGACGTTAGATAAAGGTGATTTTTTGGTCGCAGCTTCGTTAATGTCTAACGTGATATGAACGTTGGTTAAACGTTACGATGAACGTCAATTCATGTTATTTCATGTTTACGTAGTGCGTTGCATTTAACTTTGTACCAATGTCGAATACAAAAACTACGTCGGTCGTTTTTTCTGAACATTGATATCAATATGCGTTCGCTGTATCAGCGTTAATAAAAAATAAACTTTAATATATAGTTTGATAACGTTATGACGCGGATGCGACCCATACGACGCAGTTGGCGAAATATGCAATATAAGAAACATAAATCGCTGTAGACGTTAAGAAAATTTGCGGGCTCAGAATACTATTTTGCAAGCGTCTTCTGCGTACTTCATTACAAGTGGCAAGTCGACTTTAGCTATAAAATTTTTCACCCAAGAAAGAATATATAATTGTAGAACACATTCAAGAACGAGCTGATCAACGTTTTTATCGTAAGTACATGCTGTTTTAATTTTATTTGAATAAACACAGAACTTGGGCAAGGAATAATTCAACATGTATATTCAATAGGGAGTTTTAGCAGAGACTACGAGTACGACTACGAGTACGATTTACGTCATTTTGGCGCGAAAACATTGTTGCGACAACAAAAACCATTGAGTTCTATAATAACTGGAGGGGAAATGTCAACAAAATTACTATAAATTATCAGCGCGCGGCCGCGTGGTCAAAAACATGGCGGATTTTGGTGGTCAAAGTCAGCGGAGAGACGCGGGCTCATGAAATAAAATTTTTGTCGCCCACCCTGATTTGACCACCACGATTGCGAGTATAGAAAATATCAAAACTATTTATTTTCCTAACATAAACACTTTTTTAAAACTTTATTTATTTAACTGCCAACTTTTGTGGTTTGCGGATGCTGAAATAACGACAGAAAAGGGAACATTTCTTGACTCCGGTAAGTAGCACAGTATTAGTTCTACTATTTTGTTTTTAACACGATACTTGAGGAGTGTTTCTAATACTAAGTTTTAATTTAAAATAATTTTGTCCAGTCTTGTTTGTTCTTCACTTAATCGCTCGCCAGACGTGGCGAAGCTGTCAATTTTTATCGAGTTTTGCATCCATCTTGTATCATGATCAAGGCATCAAGCTAAACTCTCCTGATTTGAATTGAGTTTACCTCCCAAAAATGGGACATAATTTGTTCATTTTTTTTTTAAAAAGATGAAGGGAAAGTTTACAACAGAGTTGTGTTGAAATTGAATGCAGTGCCATGCAAAATTAATGAGAACTATGGTATATGTTGTGTAATAAAAATAACTACCTATTAAACTGTTTGCCTGCTCAATTTGACTGACTGTATAGTGTAGACAAACATAATGGGATTGGAAAGTTGGATTTATGCAAACAATTTTAAAGTACTACTTAGCATTTCTGTAAATGAAGTATTTATTGTTATAGTAAACAGGTTACTACTTCAAAACCAAGATAAAAGTAGTGTGTTGAACAATGTGCTAAGATTTGTTTCTACCTTGAAATTTTTGTTCAACAGTAGCTCATGATTATATCATTAATATGCATGAAAAATTAAACATATTATTGTCTCATCTCATTAAATCCATACTTGGTATGATTCCAGGTGATCCACAATTTCACATCAGATGCATTGGTTACAATGAATTTGAATGCAGAAGAAGCAAAAATAGATGGCAAAGAAATTCTTTGTGTCTTATGAAGAATTAGTAGAAATCAATAAAAAGAATTCTTTAAACAAATTGTAAACAAATTTAAATTTGCTCATGGTCCAGCAACCTAGTCAAAGAAGCAAAGTCTGTCTTCAACATGTGACCTTTCCAATTATTTAGTTTCTTTGTACAAAATACTATTTTCGAGAAACTTGATTTGTAAGTCTTTCATTAATATTTTTTTACCAAGAGGTAAAAGGAACTAATTCAAAGGCTTGATGTAAAATACAAATATTTAACAAGTTGTTTATCATTTAATTCCCAAATGTTAGTTTGTACATATAAATAATTAGTATGGGTAGCTGTAAGTTGTTTAAGAAAAACAGAAGAGTAGTATTGCTCGAAGGGGTTAGCATTTTTGAAAAATTATATCTTGTTCTTGACATATATTACACAATTCCAAAAAACTGTAAGTAATGCACAATAATATCTATAGAACTTGATAAATTTCTTCGCCTACACTGTCAAATAACTATTTTGCCTTCATGCAGCAATAGACAGTGTTTTTGTCAGAGAAACCAATGCACTTTAGTTTCCAAGTTTGTAATTTCAATGGAAAATTAATGTAGTTCTGTTCAGTAATAGATGCAAGATTCTGCCAAGCTGTTTACAAAATACAAATTACCAAGCAACAGTGTAATGGTGTTTTGAATTTTTTTTTTTTTTGTAGCTCTTCTAGTTCAACATACTTTCTTTATGAGTTTTCAGTAGATTTATCAGGTAATGACAATACACTTATGATACTTAACCATGGTAAATTTTTAGTTGACTTATGTCGTAGGACTGAAGCAAACATTTTCTCGCTTCCTTAGGAGCATTTTTACACAGATTTATCCATTTGAAGCAAGAAAAATAGGTGCACCAAACTGTTGACAAACAGTCAAACACACAAAAGCATGAAATAATGTATAAGTTTGACGAGATTGACAGGTCTAGTAAAGAATGCCGTTTGATTTTCACTTTTAAAAGGCTAAAATGTCATAAAATAACTTAAATGTTACATCCAAAATATGCGTTCCTCTACCGTCATCTTCTTTATTTTGATGTGTGTCTGTACTGTGTTTTTCACGCAATGCTGAAGCATTATTTTCACATGATATGCTGTCGGTATCGTAATTGTTTTTTTTTCTCACTTGTTTTCGTTCATACAAACAGTATTAGAAATCAGGAGGGAGTGAATATTGAAAAAAAATTTTAAAGTGGAAGTTTTGACCACCAAAATCCGCCATTACCGCCATGTTTTTGACCACGAGGCCCAGGCCCCTTTGCCCCTCCAGGTCTTATAGAGCTCAATGACAAAAACACGTAGCCGTCATCAATCGTAGTACGATGTTTTGTAAAAAATTCGTAGTCGCGACTACGATGTCTTTTTAAGCAAAGAAAGTAGGTATATTTCTTCATTCTGTAAGAAATTAGTTTACAGTACTATTTTCGAGCATCCAGGCTTTAATTTAGAACCTTTTTTGAGCGCAGATGTACATTAAAAAGGAAAATATGACCTGCAAAACTTTCATGTATTTCGTACGCAAAGTGAAAGGTAAACAAACAATAAAATAGTACAAATATATCGTACATAAAACTTAAAATAGTGAAGATTTTTTACTGTAAAGAGTCCTATGCTCTCGCAAAATCAATATTATCGATTCTTTGATATCATTATTGACAAATATAGCCGTAGCTGCTTCGCAAACGTCGGTGTATTACACAATAAAAAGGCTCGTTCTGTTGTTTACAACTAAAGCAAAATTTTGACGAAGCGACAACGACAACAAACTTCCTCGTGCCATTCCCTTACACGGTCAAATTTCGTACTCGTAGTCGTATCGTACTCTTGCTAAAACTCCCTAATGGTTGACGGTTGACCCGTTTCATTTCATATTCTTAGCGCAACTTTAGCAAGAAACGGTGTTTTGGAACAAGTGCTGCTATATTGTAACGTGATCAAACTAAGGTGAAATTTTATTTGTTTAGATATTGTAGTTATTGTTGAACAAAGACAATGAGGAACAATGAACGTCTTATAATGCCATTGTCGATTTGCCGTTACCGTTGGTTAAATAAAGCATACAATTTATTGTTTTTAGCCACAAATAATACAAGCAACATCTTATTTAAGTAATTTGGTGTGTTGATAAGCACAAAAAAGCTTTAAAATTTAAATGATACAAATCGACAAAGGATGGTTGAAATGTTTATAATGGATTGATGATAAATGCGTAAAACAACGAATTTGTTTGCTACTTTGCTCATGTAGCTTTCTAGGCTCTTTAAATGATTTTGTCATAGGCAATTTGTTCTCTTTATTAAGAAAGGCCAATTTTTTTGATCTTTAGTGATAAGGCCAATTATTGATCGCCAAAATTCAGAAAAGCCTGTGGGTTATTGGCTTATTGCTGTGGACATTTAACAAATTCATTTTCATATTTTATACACCTTACTATAGCCTTAATTTTCAATTGTTTCGACAAAAATTTTGTTAATTTTTTTGTTTTTTTATAACATTAAACTCAAACCTTTTTATGATATATACGTCTGTGTTGATGATTAATATTTTTTAACATGGGGTTATGTGATTATGTGATTTAGAAAATGTTTTTGATTAAGAATCATGAAGCCTTAAACCTTAAAATAGTTGTAGTTTCTATTGCAAATCACAGCAGTTTTTAAACAGTGATATAATTTTACAAAGAGGTAATTGAATGTTTATTCATAACAATGCATGGTTGCTTTATAATACTAGTAAGTATTGTTTGTCCAATTATTGAATTCAAGACAATATGTAGTTTACAACCCACTTTTTTTTATCTCTTAGATTGGTTCATTAACTTCGCCTATTTCTTTAGTAAGCTTGCAATGTCAGTTAAATTATTTTTATTTAGTTGCTTAGAACATTTTCCATTTGCTGTTGTTAGCAAGTAAACTATAATATTATACTTAAAATTTTAGGATTATGTATAAATTAGGTATGATACATGCATGTAAAGAAGAGAATAAGTTACAAATGGTTGAGGAGACATATAAGTTACCATGACCTGCGAGTGAGACTCATCATTTTTTGATTAAAACATTTTGCTAAATGTTGTGATCACCAGCACTTAGGAGGAATGGGTTGTAACATTAGGATATGTTTAAATCAATCAACAATAGAGTGACAGTTACATTTTATTATTTATTTAAGTTCATATCATAATGAAATGTAACCGGGGGCAGTACAGAAAAAACTGGACTGCTGCTAATAAAGCTTTAAGATGCATTGATGCAATGCCTAATGGTGATAGCTGTGAAAGAATGTTTTTTATGCGGTGCTGTGTTTGAAATTAATTGAAGATATGATCTTCACACTTTGCTGGATAATTTAAGCAATTGTCTCATGAACCTAAAAATTCAGATGACTCAACGGGATTCGAACCCATGACCTCTGCGGTGCCGGTGCAGTGCTCTGACTAACTGAGCTATGAAGTCACACAGTGGTGAACAGGTCAATATTGTTGGGCTCATGTTTTCTTGTGAAATGAATGTCATATGAAAGAATGTTTTTTATGCAGTGCGGTGTTTGAAATTAAATGAGCTATGATTTCGAACTCTGCCAATCTGAAATTGTATTTTTATTTGCTTTAGATGTCTACTGATACACATGCAGTTTGTAGAATTCCTTGATAAGAAGTCAGTTGAAGTTGTTCACAGAAGTTGGATTGAAGCATGTGATGGTATAGGGTTTGCTTTGCGTTATTGTTTTCATACAATATTGTTCAATCATTCATTTTTATCTATGTGCTCGTTACTTAAAGTATGTGCTATGTATATCTACTTTGGAGGATTGATATAAGTCAAAATCATATGCTATAATATGTAAAGGACAATGGACTCCCATAGAATGTAATATGGCATATCTTAAAGATCTTCCTGAGTTTATACGTACAGGTCAATGCAACTATTTTTCATTTAATTACACTTTAGCTTTTGTGTTGCTATTGGCCGAGGACAAAAGTCTCAGCTATTGTAAAGAAGCTGGAATTGCCATACAAAAATGGTTGGAAAAAACATAAAGTCAGAATATTCACATTTGCAGGTTAATATGATGTCTTGTGATTATAGTATGAATTTTTCATTTAGGTTACATTTATTTTGGATTTCTACTTATTTCCATTTTGATTGTAAATAATCATTGCTATGTCTGGTGTAGGAATTTTTTATTTTCAGAATTTTTTATAAACTTGCTGCCAGCTGTTTAACATTTTCTCCACTGAAGCCTCAAAAGTGCTATAAACGATTTAATGCTCTGTTTTCTAAATTTAAACCTTTCTTTTACTTAGACAACTATAAAAGTGCCCAAAAGTTTGCTAGAAGAGCCATTGCCACTTCAAACATTGAATGAGATGATGAGTCAATCAACGACAAGCCACGAAAACGTCCTCGTCTCAAAAGGAGTATGGAAGAATTTCTAGATTACAGTGACATAGAAAGTAGGTTATATAGTATTCTAGATATTTCTCTCCGATCACAACAACTTACGTACGCAGTAACACAGAAAAGTGTTTTATTTCTACTGTTATAACTACCTACGTGCATATATGGCTGTAGTCAATGAAGGGTCGTGTGTGCGAAAAACAATAAGTTCTTTGAATTTGACTATGTCTTCTTCTTTAAGTTGGGAAAAGATAGGATTAAGACTGAATGTATTGCCGTAGCTACTTAAATATTACATCTTTGGCAAGTATTAAATAACCATATTTTAGTATTTTTAGTATAGCTTGAGAACTCAATAAACATTGTTATGCGATGATCGGGTATTTTTTCTCATCAGACAATGATGACAGTGATGAACCCGTAATTCAACACAGAGCCCCTCAGTTACCTCCTGCTCCACGTTTTGCATCTTTTGCTATGAACAACAAGCATTTATTGGAATCTTCTGAAAGTAATATGATAACAGCCGTCAATGAAATCTTATCTACAAATTCTAGAAGTAAGTACTGTAGTTACAATGCAATAGGCCATTGCTTTATTCAAAAGAGTGCAGTTTTTCACATAATGCTACGTTGCATTTAAATGTAATTATTGATTTTGCTTTTTAGATTTGCCGGTGTGCAGCGAGCTGATGTCCCTTGCAGAAAAAGGTATAAGCGCAATTATAATCATTGTACAAGTAGACAATTTTTTGACAGAAACATGCACGTATAAAATTTCTCTTTTCATCTTAATATAATGTTGATCTAGATTTATATAACGGTGAACTAGCACCAGAAATCCTAAACACAAAGGATCATGCAATAATTTCCCCATCTACTAGTAGGACACCATCTCAGCGTAGTGTTAAGTTTTCTGTCATCAGAACTGACTAATCAGCAACTTTCATATAATATGTCGACTAAAATGTTAAAATAATTTTGATTGATTTTTTTTTAATAACTTTAACATTCGTATTGTACATTTACTGTTTTTCTACGTCCATTGTTGCATTATAGGGCTTATGTATCTTCTACAGGTGCTGTAGGCGTTGGTCCTTTAAAATGTTGTTGTAATTAGTTAAAAAAATTTTAGTTATAGTTATAATTGCAGTTTTGTTCACACCACGATTTTATCAAAATACATTCGTTCAAATCTAATTCTCAGCGTTTGCTATCAAACTACTAAATGAAACTTTCTCGAGGTTTTTTAATTTCGTCACCTTTCTGTTTCTGACTTTTGAAACCTGTAGTGCCTTAATTTAAATGACGTTCGTGCGTGCAATAAAGATATATGTTAAACCCAGTACATGTCTTGTCTGTAGATACAAGCAACGTCTCTTCACAAGAAATTCTTACAACTGGCACAACAAGAGAAAGACATTCTCAACGAAACAGTGGTGTCTTAGGCAAGCTTTTCTTACAATTCATTATTGCATGTTATGTTGTTACGTTTTCATTTACGTTCATTTTGTGTCGTTTGAAATGTTTTTTTCCCAACTGACTGCAACACGTGATTGTATTGCAGATGCGCATGACCTTTCATCGCACGAAACGCCTTCGACAAGTTTTATGAACATAACACCTGCAGGAAGACGTTCTCAACCAAATATTAATGGCATCTCTTCTACAGTATATAGCTTTTGAATAGCGTTGCTATTATGTATGCGTATTCAATTAGCAATTCGATGCGAGATTTATTTGAATTTTCTTGTTAGCATGTTGTAAGGTTTTATATTTTTAAGATATTACGTAGGTTACACATAAGTTATTCTATTATTTTCTTATATATCTTGTAGGCTTCCAAAGATCAGTTCTCACCCAACTGGAAACATTAATTAATAAGCAAGAAGAATATTGTGTCAATATTGCGTGCCTGTTAAGCGCTAAGAAAGGGGTAGACGAGCACGAAATTGTAGAAGATCTTGTACCTAATCCCTTAGATTCGGTTGAAGAACTTGAGGACCTATCCTCTAGTCTTGATGAAGAAAAGTCCAGGAGAAAGTTGGTAAGTTTTGGAAAGTTAACCATCCATACGTATTTAGTAATATTTATTGGCACTGCCTATTTTTTATGCATGACTCTTTCAAGTGTTACGTAAAAAAATGTGACAAAGGAAGGCATAGCCCTTCCCCTTTATCGGTTTCAAAAAGTGAAAACGATAGTTTCATTTGCAATTACGTAACATAATATTGTCTTTTCTTCTACCATTTGTGTTTGAAGCTTGAAAACATGCACGTTTGTCAAAGTCTAAAACGTAATTTTAATGACGATTTTCGTGACGTTAGGGGGTCAGATTATCTGATGAAACTATATGAATCTAGCATCGTGTTTTTCGTGAGAGCTTTGTCGTGTTCTGATTGATTTAAATACGTTACGATACTTCAAACTGCTCTTAAGTGTGTCGCTTTATTTGTGCTGAAAAATTTTAACGAAGAAACTGGTCTTTCTAAAATCTCTCATCATTCACTTTGGATGGTTTAGTATTGCAATTCGAGATCAAAATGGTTATTTATATATGTCTAAATTGAACTTTTCCATATAATTTATCTTTTACTCTCTTTACTAGCTGCATTTTTGGTAGCACTGTGCGCAAACACCTATGCAAACAGTGTTAGAAGAATTATGACGAAGCTGGGAACAAATAATCTATGGTCCCAATATATTTTGAAAGGCAGAAAGTCAAAGCGACCATTTCAGCACCTTGCCCTCTGCAAAGTTATACCAAGTAAGCACAATTAGACAATAATGATTGCTGCAGCAGTACCATGTTTTATCTTTTTTTCTTGTTCATGAATTGGAAAAACAGCCATTTATGTTGCTTCTTGTCATAAGAAATACTGTTGCAAGTTTTAAAAGCTAATACATTATACTGTTTTGCATATGTCACTATAATGGATTGTTGTTTATCATTCAGTTTACGAAAATGATTTAGTGTTTTATCTATGCAATTTATTGAAAGTATGTCTTTTCTGTGTCGTTTTACTTGTTAGAAGCCTGCCTCAGAGCTCATAAAGGATGCAGCGAGGCCAACGTTGAAGATCAAATTGCCGAATTTTTAAAATATGCTCCAGGCAAGCAAGGTGGTTCCAGATTTAAGGTAACATGTCATTATCATCATAGATTGCTGGGTAAAGTATATAGATGCGATTTTTTCTTTGTTTGATTATCTCAACTTAGACAGGGAGAACTCAACTTATTTTACTCCGTAATCTCATAGTTAGCATATTTGTATTTTCTTGTCTGTGTAAGTTGAGAAAAATAAACAATAACATTGTTGGCATGTGCACTTAAAGAAAGTGAGCATGTGTCTTTCATTGTCCTTCAATTATAAGTAAAGCAAAATAGAATGGACACATATACATAATGCGTACCTTTAAAAACGCTCATTTTAGTGCAGGTATTAGATTTGTGCAAGTTTTAAATTTTGTTAACTCAAACTTCATGACTAGATTTATTATATGCAATTTGCTTAGCGTGATATTAAATAATTATTGAATGAAGTAGTATATGAATTAAGACTTATGAAGGCCAAGGTTTGTTCAATCTACCAACGCTGAGGCAGATAGAACACATTGATGCCTTGATAATTCTTTATATTATGTGGAACCCAATTCAATAATTGTTTTATTATTTATATAAAAAGGCAAGTGTTGGTTAAATGTGAAAAAAGTGCCGTAACGATTAAAGTTTTGTTCACTTGTTTTGTTTCTCGTGCGTATGAGATGACGTTGTAGCGCGAGATAATTTCTTATATCCGACGAACGTACGTGGTGGCATTCATATAAGTGGATTTATTCGATTGCTTTTAAGTGAATAAAACTAAAAAATACTTTGATTCATATGTTTATATAAATTAAATTAAGAAGATATACATACAGCAGACGATTCAGTTGTCTATTTAAATGGTATCTTTTACAGACAAATATGGCAATGTTGTTGTAGGTGGTAAGATATATAAAAATGATATATAGACTACCATTTTCTAATAATCATATATGTTATTTTCTTGCAGGTCCGAATAGACAACTTATTGGAATCGGCTTAATTAGCATTTTTGTAAATATGTATATTAAAACACGAACAGCAAAATAGATGAGTTAAAAGTTGATTATATGGAAATTAAAGTTTAGTTCGTATCATTGCAAAGGCTGTTTTACGATTTCACAAATAATGCATCCTTAATTGTATGTTAAATGAACGTCGGATGAACGTTGTATGAACGTCGGGTTTAGGTTGAAAATACGTTACATCCCAATGTTCATCCTAAAGTCGCCACCACGTTCATATGAGTTCACGAAAAAACGTTCACTTAACGTTTGTCCCCGACGTTGAGTGAACGTTCGACGAACGTTGGTACAACGTTGAGACAACGTGATTTTGCTAGCTGGGTCAATATTGAATAATATTAAACAAGAATGCTATTTTACTAATAATTGACGTTTAAAGCAAAAGTTTGCCGAAATTTTTACAAAGCGTTATCATCTTGTGAAGAAGATAAGGTTTAAAGTTTTTGTAGTGAAAAACGCTATATTTGTAAAAACATCTATATTTTCTATTGCGATCTAGCGGAAGTATCTTGCTGGAAGGCGTGTCTGCTTAGAATTTGCTTCAGAAAGGTGGAGAACACAAACATCAAAGTTTCCGACACGATTGGGCCTTCTGTTTAAGATATCTTTCTGTGGTTTTAGTCACGCAACTAATCATACCCTCTCGCTTAGATTCAAGGTCTGCAGCAGGTTATTCAAACACTATGATGCTATAGCACATACAACATAATATGAATATTTGGACAAGTATACGGTTGTTTCATTCTGCACAGCACATTCATATACAATTGGTTGTAACGGTAACAAAATAAAGTTTGTAAAGAAATCCGAATTCAATAGTCAGAATGTCACTTTGAATCTTTTTCTTAAATTTTCGTTTGCATCGTAAACACGACAATAGTCTGCAATATTTTAAGGTTACTACAGAAGGTGAGCGTTTTTTTCTTTCATTGTCATTCTTTCGTTGTTATTTGCATTCACTCATGCAGGCCAGCCAGCCTCGTACGCAGGCGCTTCACATGGCGTGCGTGGGCATCGCGCATTTGCATGGCTGTAACAAGCCGATTACGTGTGGAAGCTCCCACGCGATTCTCCCATTTTTTGTTCGCGCGTGTCGTCCCGCGCGAGCACGCACGCCGTGTTACATTCAATTTATAAAATATGAAAGACCTCAAAGCAAAACAAGCCAAGCGCCTGGTTACGGTGCTGCAGACCACCTACGCCACTGGAGTGGAGGTAATTGAATAAACATGGAGTAAAATATTGTCAAGGCTCATTCTAAAAAGTACTTACATCGGTATGTAAAATTCAATGTCAATTCCTTTCATTATTGGGCTGAAGATAGATTTGTCATTCAAAGTCTTCGTTACAGAAAGAGTCAACTACGAAAAATAAACAAAAGCTCTTTAATTTCAAACACCGCACTGCATAAAACATTCATATAACATTCATTTCACAAGAAAACATGAGCCCAACAAAAAATTGACCTGCTCACCACTCTGTGACTTCATAACTCAGTTGGTCAGAGCACTGCACCGGCACCGCAGAGGTCATGGGTTCGATTCCCGTTGAGTCACCTGATTTTTTCAGGTTTAAGAGACAATTGCTTAAATTGTCCAACAAAGTGCGAAGATCATATCTTCACTTAATATACTTTTCGTCTTTAGTTTGAATGACGTCAACTTTTCAAGGATACGTTCATACTGTCAAAAAATGCTGAAAATAAAAGATTTTTCTTAAGAAAGTGACAATTGAGAAAAACAAACTATTGCGTTAAGGTTTCGGAGAAAGGGATTAAGCATATGAATGATCAAGGGAATGTGTAAATGAACAAAAGAATGAGAAGGGAGAAAGAGAAAAGTGTGTGAGTAAACGAAGGATTATGCTAAAGAAAATGGGAATTTGTGATTGAGCACGGGAAAGAACGGCGGAAGAGAATGAAGGAGTGAGGGAGGATTCATAACTTCAAGAAAATGAATATCATCAGTCAATACTGCATTAAAAATGACATGCAAAGATGCAATAATTTCTAATAAGGCTTTATTTGATAAAAAACTTTCCAGACGTTTCTGCATTGCTGTTCATGTATGTTATCAAAAAACTTGATTAAGCATTACGTCTAAGTTCGATTTAATGGCTTATTTATTTGTCGTGATAAATGTTATAGTTCTCCTTTTATCTACATCACTATGTGCAGCAACAGGCAGCAGTTTTACAACAAAAAATATTTGCTACAGACTCTCCTTCATGCATCGGTATGATATAATGAACCCAAAAACAATGTGATGAATAAAAATGATAAGTTTACCATGCTTCCAATCTTAATGTCGATGAAACAAAGTCCGTGAGGGAATGAGGGAGTGTGCAAGTGAACAAGAGAGTGTCTAAGTGAACGAAGTGTTCGAGAGAATAAGAGAGTGTATGAGTGAACGGGAATGAATGAGAGAGTGGATCAACGAGGAGTGTGAGGGAAATGAGGAGTGAATGGAATCGTGAAGGGAAGGAGGGATGAAGTGAATGATGGAATGGGGAGTGGAATGAATGAAAGTGCATGAATGGGTGTGTAAGTGGAGAGTGAGGAATGAGTGAAGTGAGGAGAGTCTGAATGAATGGGAGAAATGATATGGTAAAACTTTCTTTATAATAGCTTAAAATAAGACCATGGTTAAAAAGGCGTCCCTCAGTAAAAGGTCATGTAAAAAAGCTACGTAAAAAAAAAGTCATTGTTTCAAAGGGGTAAAAATAGTGTTAAGAAAGCATCGTTTCGGAGGCGATCCGGCAGCGCAAATTTTAGCGTAGCTAAAATTGAGCAGGGGGATGGGATCGCCGAGAATTCATGCGAGCCTGGTGGGTAAAAAATTCTAGCTTTAGCTAGAATTTTCGGCTCGCCCCGTTTTGTCCGAAGGACGACAGAGGCTTAAGAAATGCTCTTTAAAAACTATCTTTAGAAATCAAGTGTTAATAATCAAGTGTTATTAAAATATCAGTAGCGGCGCGCGTGTCTTAGTGCATGTTTTTAACAATGGTTGTTTAATGTAGATAGCACATTTCATCAGCGCATGTATAATAATACAATGTTGTACAAAATATGGAATCTATATGTTTTTTTAATTTGTCTGTCAAGCGAGTTTCATATAATTTTTGTTAAAATTGTTTTTAATAATTGTTTCAGGATTTTGAATTCTTTTGTATATCGCTTTTGTATTAATTACTTATTACAAACAGTTATGTGATATGTAGTCAAAAATGAGGAGCAGGTATGTATGATTTTACTCTAACAGAGGCCCACGCTACATGCTTACTACACATTATAACTGTATATTAAAATAAGTTTTAATTATCATTTAAATAATGACCATAAGCTCTAGTAGTTATACCATCATCTAATATATACCGTTTATCATCAAAACAGCTAAGTGATACTTTATTAATTTCATAACTACTAAGTTGATGGTTTACACTTCTAATAGTTTTCATTGTATGATGTATTTGTTTATTTTCAAATAGTGTTTGTTTATAGTCTTCATGTTTTATTTTATTTTTAATAATATTTTTCTTAATTCCTTTAGCTTTTTTATCTCCTTTATTATTGTCTTTAATATAACTATACATCTTACTTCTTAAACCAACAAATTCTTTAACTACTATTCCAGCAGCTTCATCTTTCATTTTACCAATAACTTTTTTATTAGTTTTATCATGATATTTATGGTATTCTGGGTAATCACTAGTATCAAATTTATCTTTATCAACCCAAAAATCTTTATAGACATCTTCAGTTTCGATTTCATATGTTAGACTATCTGTGTCTGTGAAAAGAAGTTTAGCTTTATCACCATATTTATTCTTGATATAATTGTAATGAAAATCATACATTAATACTTTAGATAAATCTAAGATACACATTCCCACATATGCCGGCCTGTTAAGGGTTAGTGTTTCTTTGATCTTATGTACAGCCACAAGGTTCTCATTGAAGATTTTACTACTTACATAAGTAGGTTTTGAAACTAATTTTAATAATTTATCTTTATTAGTTACTAGTCTAACATCTACTCGTTTACGAAGGTTCTCCATCGTTTTACCGAATACTGAATTATTCATGAGTTTGAAGAAGTCTTTTTCAAAAGGATTTTTTGCATTAGTTCTTTTTTGAGTATTAAAGTCTATGTATTTTTTCAACCATGGAGATTGATTAAATTCAAGTACTCGGTGGACTTTAGTTAATTTTAACCCAAGATCTAAGTATAATTGAAGATTTCTATAATGTAGCACATACTTATCTTTATTTCCTAAAGTGGGAATAAGAAACTAAACCTATTGATATATTATAATTAGAAGCAATTGTCTTACAATATTTTGACAACATATCACTAGTTACTTTAACTTTTTCTGGTGCAACAGGATAATCGTTATGTAAATCATGTAGTTCTTCAGGGTATTCTAAATCAACTTCTAAAATTAAACCTTTTTTATTATCTACTTGATATTTAGCAAGGTTTATGTTGTTAATCTGTTTCTCAGTTAACCATTTGAAACCACCAGTAGGTAAGTATTGTGACATAGCCCATCCATATAAATTATTAAAGTCAAGATACATTATATATTTTGAGGGTTTATTCTTATCAAATGTTTTCATATACTTGTTATTTGCCTTACCATATCGGTTAGAAATATAAGAAACACCTCCTTTCATACCTTTTTCGATGAATTGAAACATGTCAATATCAGTCATTAGTTCTAATTTAATATCTGTCATCTTCAACATAGCATCCCATGAAAGACCAGGACTAGTAAAATAGTGGCATGGGTCTAAATTATAGTATTCTAAGCATGTTTTCCTAAAGTTTTCAAATACATCAGATAATAACAAAACATCAGATTTTAGATACAGGTCGTGATAATCACCCATGTTTTTGAGATTGAATGTATTCCACACTTTTTGTGCATGGTTATAAGAATCATCTGAGATATTTTCATTAGTAAGAATACTATAAAAGTCTTTTGAAGGCAACCCTCATCAAACTTTTCAAAGCTATCCATATAATCATATGGGTATATACCTTTTTTTGTCATTAAATTAAGTTTTTCATCTTTAAACTGATTAGAGGTATATTTAAATGATTCTTTAGGTAGGTTATTAACAAGCTTATCAAGACTAGAGCTCATAAATTGAAAACTATCAAGAAATGTTAAATGGTTACCTAACATGAAAGCCATATATTTTTCCATATTATTTGGTATAGCATTTATATTCATCTGTGTTTCTTCACCTTTTTTGTTTTTGTATGTATGCTTATTAACAATAGCTCCGATTTCTTGCATAATAAAATGGCTGTCATACCCACGCAGATTGTGAAATATTACTGGGATCTTTAATTTATCAGGGTCTATTCTAAGTTTTAAATTACAATCTTGATGAGCCGACCCTCTGTATCTTCCAGTGATATGACAATGGTCTCGAACTCGAATATCTTTGTTAGTATATTTTTTGTTACAGATATGACATTCATCAGCTTTTTCAAATTCTTTTTCATCATCAGAGGTCATTTTTAATGGTTTATTAAAGTGGGTTTTCATAATATTTTTACAATATTTAACTTCTTTTAACATAGCTTCCATAAATTTGTAAACAGCCTTTTCACCTCTATATAGTTGAATTGGTTTTGTGAATTTATCATCATAACAACAAATAATTTTGTATCCATAACCACAGTCAGTATGTTTCTGATAGGCTTCTGTATATGATTTACCATTATTCTGATTACAACCAGATATCTTTTCTGTAATAGCCTCAAAGTCAGCATATATGACAAATGGTACTGGTTGTTGCTTATGATAGTTGTTGAATTTCAATATGTTATTATTTTTATCAGGCATTCTTATTGATTGTATACCATTTATTAATATACAGTTTTCTATATGGTTATTTAATATTTTTTCAGAACTAAAACATTGGAGACAACGCATACAAAAGTGTTTTCTTTCTTTATGCTTTGTTTGATTGTACATAAATTTATTAAAATCTTTTATTAATACATAATGTTTGTTTTCATTATCAGTTATCAATAGTAGTTCTATATGGTCTTCAAATTGTTCTTTTGATATGAATAATGGATATGGTTGTTTATCTTCATAACCGAAGACATTAATGTTAATTTTGTTTTGCTTTTCGATTTTATTATAATGTTTAACAGTCACTGGAAAATCAACCCCTTCATAATTAAGCTTTTCAATATATTGCTTATCAGATTTTTTTATTCTTTGTGGGTCTTTATTTTGTGGGTTAATATGCCTAATATGACACCACCTAAAACATTCATTATCATGGTTTTTGATATTTATCAAACCTTTATTAGGGTTTTTAAGTTCTTGAGGTAAATTAATGTATGAAGACCCTTGTAATGGCTTGTATTTAACAACATTAAGATAATGATTATCTATAGAGCGAATAACCCATCCAGAACCTTCTTGTGTAAATTTATCAATCTTGTTTAATATATTTTGTTTTGAAATTTGTAGTGATTCAGTAATATTTTTATTATTTGTAATTGTTAAAGCTTGACTGTTAAAATAAGCAACTTTTGTTAAAAAACCAGCTGTACCACCATCTTTTATTTCAAATTTTTCAAATGTTACCTTAAGCGTTTCAATAAATTTTAATCCTTTCATTGTTGTTAATATTTCTTTAATATAATATGTAAGATATTTTCTAGTATTCTGTAATTGTTTTAAAGGATCTTTATAGCTCATAATACTTATTTCATATGATTTAGTAAATCCTTTAAGAGCATTGTTTGTTTCTCTTATTTTAACTCTTTGTGTTGGTATCGGTTTCTTATTTTTATTCTCATACTCTTTAACCATATCTTTAACACTCTTTCTTGGTTTGGGGACTGGTGTTAATACTTTGATTAATTCGTTTTTTCTAAGTTTATAATAACCTTTAACCTTGTTTTCTTTAGCAATAATTTTTAACTGTTTTACATTCATTTTTTTGATTAATTCGTTTTTTCTAAGTTTATAATAACCTTTAACCTTATTTTCTTTAGCAATAATTTTTAACTGTTTTACATTCATTTTTTTGATATTGGATTGTGATAGTACTTTTTGTACTGGTTTGGAAATTGAAGTATTATTAACTTCATCCCTAGGCTTTTTATTTAATATTATATTGATTAAATCGTCTTTAGTTAAATTTTGAAGTTCATCTCTATTAATATTTAGCATACTATATAAAATAGGTTTGTCTTTAAGTACCTTTCGATTTAAATAATCTCTACTCATATATATACTATATATTTTATTTTTTATTTTTTTAAACGCACTAATTTTAATTATAGAAATAAATCTATAGTTAAAACTTTTTATAAAAAATAATTAAATTAATCTATTTA